GAGTTCTATGGGACTTTTTTCTGAGTAGCCCACGTGAATTTAGTCTGCAGTACCACGGGCGCCCCCTGTGCCCATGGATGGGACAGCTATAAGTTAGTAATACCCTATCCATTTATTATTATAGATCCATGGTTCTGACACCAGAGCCGCTCTGTAGTGTAGACAGCAGCTCCCTCCTCCAGCGGCTATGAACCACTAACAACAGTGAGGCCAGCGTGCCGCCATAGCATGGTCATTCTCTGCTTGCTGCAAGTGCGTAACCTGTTTCTATAACCTGTGCACGCACTAAATACACCTCTGTAAGAAACAGAGCTGGATTATAGGAGCCTCAGGAAGTGACCATGTTTCTGCCTGTCTATCCTCCAGAAGCACTGAAACTAAAACGCTTAATTAAATCTGGGGTACTTACATTTTCCCTTGATTAGTTAGTTCAACTCAAAATTTCAAGGTAACTGGCTGCACGCAACTTTTGAGTTAAGACATCAACTTAATTCTTTACGTTTTGAAGAACTTCAATCATTAAGTTGTGTCAGCTAAGTGTTTCTAGTTCTGCCACTAAGTTTTTGCCAGATGCGGCCCTTTGGATGCTTTTAATCAGGCCCCTGAGCCCTCCTCAATTTATATAGATTAAGATTAAGATCAAGAGAGATTAGAATTAAGAACATTTATTCATCCCACAGTGGGGTATTTTCAGTTTAAACATCATACCCCTCTGTGCTGTGTGCAGAGCTTTTTTTTTCCTATAAACCAAAGATTAATTTTTAAAATTAAGCTTGAAAAAAACATTGGAATATCAGACGCTGTGGGAATCCGGACCGAAATTCCAATGTGGCCCTCAGGAGGAAAAGTTTGCCCATGTCTGGTCTATGGTCACAGCCTGTTATATCTGTGACTTACACCGCAACGCTTTCTCGGGCCAAAGCGCATCCAATTTAATTCATGTACCATGTCTATTATTGTTTATAATATTAAAAATGTCGGTTCTTAGAAAAAGTTCCCATTTTACCTTGAAAGTGCTTCAAAAGTGCTTGAATTTTAGAGTTCAAAAACTGTACAAACCCTGGGAGAGGTAGCTGCTATCGCGGTAGGACCTTACATGAGGAGTGACATCATCATAGTGTTAGCCTTAATGCAGAAGAAACAGATTCGAGCTAGCTGGAGCCAATTTCCTTATATGGGCTTTTTTTTGCCGCAAGAGGGGCAGACGTAGCCGGGCCTGAGCCATCCGTAAACACCGGTCGATTATTACTCCCTACATGTACGTCTGGGTCTGGTCCCCGTGACTGCAGTTACCTCAGCTGTATCCCCTCTGACCAATCAGCGAGGTTAGGAGGCGAGTGTTGTAGGTAGGTGTCGGTGACGTCAAGTTTTTGCACCAAATTTGCTGGTTGTAGTTTGGCAATGGCATCAATTCCAATCGTAAAATAATTTGTTCTTGTTTGGCTCTTAAAAATCAAGAAATCGAAGCCGCAGCAAGAGGAATGTTTAGCAAATGTAATTTCTGGCAAATATTTTGTGGCTTTACTCCCAACAGGCTCCGTAAGTGGCAAAGGCTATATGCTAAATGTTAGCGACGCACTCGAGCACATTACATACGTCACGGCAAACTCAGATCCAATCGTTTCAATCTGCAAAAGGAGTTAACCCCTAAGACCAGGCTCGCACAGACGTGTTGCTAAGACAGTTTCTTAGACATCTGATTGTAAATCCAGATATGAGCCATAAAAGAATGGACGATCACAGTATAATCACCAAATTCAAAGAGAGTGGTTGCCCGTTCTTCTCTCACAGTGCATTCCAGCCTTCTCTGTTTTCTGGATATTCCCTGGTGTCTTTCTGGAGGATGTTTATAGACTTCTCTTTTTAATATTTGGGCCCAATGAAAACTGTAAATGTGCGGAGTAAAGCTGGTGTTCCTTGTTCAGTCTGCCAGCTATCCTGCTCAGTGTGTTTATCCCACGTCACCTAACAGGTCTGGTTCTTTGTACAGTCTGACAGCTCCATGAACTTTGATCTGACATGTTTCACTTCGCTTTCATTTCCCTCATCAAGAGCCTCGCTTGTGTCAGGAAATGTCACAAAATAATGAATGAAGGTATGTGTGGAGGAGCTAATGTGCTAGCTCCAAACAGGAAGTGTTCATACTCACTGAAGTAAAGCCCTGTGTGATTGGCTGGGACACGTACTCCGTAGTCCAAATATGGCTAAGAGCTGCAGAGAAGCCGCTGTAGCCGTTAGCGACCGCGGCTTCATCTGTTTTAGCTTCATTGTAATAAGAGACTTTGAAATACTACAACAGTACTGCAACAGTAATACAGAGTACTCATCACTGCAGTTTTCATAGTTTTACCATTAAAATATAAACAAATGTCTCTCGAGTCTGTGTATTTGTACTTCTACTACGGACCAGTACTACTACGGCTACAGCAAATACTATCACATGATTTGGTGTATAATTGTATATATGTACAATGTCCTTTCTTCTGAAGGATAACATTTAATCAAATTTCAAACTTAATTTTCAACAGTTAAATCTAGAGTCATTTCATTCATTTTTACTCGGCCTCATTCCGCTCCATTCATTACGGACGCTGAAGTGGGCGAAGCTTCAATGTCCAGAGCTTGTTTGCCTCTGTTCTCATACATGCCTCATACTCCACTCATTTGGATTTTCCTGGAACCCAAAGCTCTGTTGTGATCTGGTTCAGCTGCTGTGCGCTGAAGACCTACAAACCTGGAGCAGCTGCAGCGTCGGCCTTTTACATTTTGCAACTACAAAAAAATATTGGAATAAGAGACGGCCAGGATGAGCAGCACTGTCACTGAGAGGTAGAAGTGGGAAATGATGCTAGGTGTGTTCGCTTTTCTAACATTTTGATGCAACAGGGGACCGTGTTTTCAACAGTGTAACCAGTTTGAAAACAGAGTGCTAGGACAGAAGGGGCAGGGGTGTGTTTAATCACACAAATCCTCTTCAGGTCGAACGTGTGATGACTTTAATGTGTTAAAAAAATAAAACCAACATTTGTATATTACAACCATAAGTGTGACATCACCATAGTGTTAGCCTTATTGCGTAAGAGACCTATTAGAAGATAAGCACTGCCCTTATATGGGCAAATGTGCTGTGTTGCTATGACGATTGCTTAGGAAGTTTGCCAATGAATGGGAGGATCTGATTGGTCTCAAAATGGATTTACAAAAACAATATCACACTAAAATCTCCAGGATCATAGAGCACTTAACCACAGATTTTAGTCAGAAAATTGTGAGTGTGACAAACTGTTCTTGAGCTGGCGTTTACTTTTACATGTAAGTTAATAGGAGCCGGAGAAAGTTGGAGCAAAACTTTGTCCATGAGCACTTCCCTCGGGCTTCATTGAGGAAGCGGGTTTGCAGTGTCCATCTATATACAGTCTATACTTAGTACAAATAGTTATAATAGATTTGATTCAAAATAAAACTTTGATATCAATAGATGAAATGTTTTTTTTCTTTTTGTACCATTTTGTCGTGACCTGAATTATTTCCAAAGACCTGGGTCATCATCACTGCAGAAAGAGCTGTGTGTGGCCTTGGTCTGAGAAATGTGCTATAAAAATAAAGATTACTTACAAATGTCTCCTTCTTCAGACCTGTTGAAAGATTACAGGGACATGACTCTCTCTCTGCTTGGCTGTCAGAAGTGAAGTGAGATGGCTCCCTGTGTTTTCATTGTGAGACCGGACAAACATGCTCATACTGATCAGAGAAGCCCAGATGATAAAGCAGTGTTTGATAAAAATGTGCCGAGATCTTAATATATACAGTCTATGGCCGAGATACAGGGCTGTGGTTCTTCAGGAGGTCAGGAAAAAAAACACATCTGACCTCATGATTTAGACAACTGCACACGGGTTACACCAGTCTGTACGACACACGTACTACCCCCCTCAGAGTCTACACGGTGCCAGTTTACTTCGACCTTCAGATCAAAACATTGAGTTGTAAAGTGCAGACAGTTGTTTTGACACTATTTAAGTGCGTGTTCACCGAGCGTTTGTCGAGGGCCACCGCGATCAAGTTGAACAGTCTATGATGTGGACAGAAGAGGCGGGGGGATCTTCAGAATGTAAAATACCTGCTTTTCCCTCTGAGATACAAAATAAAGCCATTAACGATTTTAACATCAACACGAAAGCAGTATGTAGTGTTCTTTTCAAGCCTGTGCAGTACATTTAATTCAAGGACCATTTTTGGTTTTATTTTTACGTTTTCAGACAGGTGATTTTCTAACATAACTAGATAGACCATGACTAGATTCTGGTTTTTTCAGATAGAACACTGAAAATCGAGAGGACCACCTTCTCTCAGCCCTGTGATCACATATTAGATTACTCAATCATAAGACATTTTATTTGTGTTATGAGACTAAAGTTACGTACCCCAGCTTTAACTTTTGCACCGTTTGCTATTTTTGTTGGTTTGGCTGCAGTTCCTCCTGTGTCCACCAGAGTACGCCAAAGTCTAACCGGTCGGACGTGAAAAGACACTGGTTTTTTTCATGGAGCTGGATTAATATGGGTTTTGTTTATCCATCCATGTTCTTCCGCTTCATCCGTTGCCCCATCCGTATCAAGGGGGCAGCAGTCTGAGCAGAGATGCCTAGACTGCTGTCTCCGCGCACACTCCCTCCAGCTCATTTGAGGGAATCCCGAGGCCAGCTCAGGCCAGATTAGAGAAACAGTCCCTCCCCCCAGGCTTCACACAGGAGAAATGTTCTACAATATATTTATATACAAGATTCAAATATATAAAGTGACCAGTGAAATACACAATAGTCCTGGTTCAGACCTGGTTTAGATCTGGTTTAGATCTGGTTCAGACCTGGTTCAGATCTGGTTTGGACTTGGTTAAGGTCTGGTCGATAGTGGAGCAAAAACAGATTTTCACCAAAAATACATATTAAAAACAACCAAATTCATTTTTGTGGGCGTGGCTTGTGGATAAACTTGACAGGATCACGACTCGTGAACTTCCTGTTCGTTGGTTCCATCCACTTCCTCCCTTGTCTCCTCTCCTGCTTCCTCGTTTGTCTCAGTTGTTTTTTCTTCATCTCCTTCTTCCTTGATCGCTTCCTCTCCTTCTTCCTTGTTTGCCTCCTCTTCACATCCTTCTTCCATGATTGCTTCATCTCCTGCTTCCTTACCCTCTTCACTTTCCTCCTTGTCTCCTAGTCCCTCTGTGGATCCAGTTTCTCTCTCCTCACTCGCTTCATTAATTTCCTCCTCTCCTTCACAAGTTTCTTGTTTTGTCTCCTCCTCTCCTTCACAAGTTTCTTGTTTTGTCTCCTCCTCTCCTTCGCAAGTTCTTTGTTTTGTCTCCTCATCTCCTTCACAAGTTCCTTGTTTTGTCTCCTCATCTCCTTCACAGGTTCCTTGTTTTGTCTCCTCCTCTCCTTCACTAGTTCCTTGTTTCATCTCCTCTCCTTCACTAGCTTCTTGTTTTGACTCCTCGTCTTCTTCACTAGCTCCTTGTTTTGTCTCCTCTTCTCCTTCACTAGTTCCTTGTTTCATTTCCTCTCCTTCACTAGCTCCTTGTTTTTTCTCCTCCTCTCCTTCACTAGCTCCTTGCTTCATCTCCTCTCCTTCACTAGCTCCTTGTTTCATCTCCTCGTCTCCTTCACTAGTTCCTTGTTTCATCTCCTCCTCTCCTTCACTAGCTCCTCTTTTCATCTCCTCCTCTCCTTCTCTAGCTCCTTGTTTTGTCTCCTCTCCTTCACTAGCTCCTTGTTTTGTCTTCTCCTCTCCTTCACTAGTTCCTTGTATTTTCTCCTCCTCTCCTTCACTAGTTCCTTGTTTCATTTCCTCTCCTTCACTAGCTTCTTGTTTTGACTCCTCTTCTTCTTCACTAGCTCCTTGTTTCATCTCCTCTCCTTCACTAGCTCCTTGTTTCATCTCCTCGTCTCCTTCACTAGTTCCTTGTTTCATCTCCTCCTCTCCTTCACTAGTTCCTTGTATTTTCTCCACCTCTCCTTCACTAGTTCCTTGTATTGTCTCCTCTCCTTCACTAGTTCCTTGTATTTTCTCGTCCTCTCCTTCACTAGTTTCTTGTTTTGTCTTCTCCTCTCCTTCACTAGTTCCTTGTATTTTCTCCTCCTCTCCTACACTAGTTCCTTGTATTGTCTCCTCCTCTCCTTCACTAGGTCCTTGCTTTGTCTCCTCATCTCCTTCACTAGTTTCATGCTTTATCTCCTCCTCTCGTTCTTTATTTCCTAGTATTGTTTCCTTGTCTCCTTGCTGCAAAACTTGCTCCAGATTTGGATCCTGAGTTGGAAGACTTTCCTTTCGCCCCAAACCTGAAAACAAAGATTTTAAAATAAAAGTTCAGGATGTTTGAAATCAGAGTGTTCAGACAGAAGGGACGGGGGCTGACCTGCCGGTGTGAGGACCAGCGCCTGTAGAATATCGGACAAAGAAACGATTCCAACGATTTTAGATTCTTCATCCACAACCACCAACCTGTGAACCTGCGGCAGAGACAGTTTGAAAGCAGGTCTAAATCAAGACTAAAGCAGGACTAAAGCAGGACTAAAACAGGTCTAAAGTAGGTCTAAATCAGGTCTAAATCAGGTCTAAAACATGTCTAAAGCCAATCTAAAGGTGGTCTAAAGGTGGTCTAAAGGCAGTCTAACCTCTGCTTTCACAATCCGGTCCACAATCGTCTCCAGTGTCTCCAGTTTGTGACATTTTAAAACTCCTTCGAAGTACTGTGAGCGGTGCTTCAGCGCCTGTGTCACCGTCAGGTCCAGGTTGTTGTAGGTCTTCTCTGCGGCCAGGTTCTGAGGGCGCACCACCAGGGTAAAGCTCGGGTACTTAACTTTATTATCATTGTTATTATCTACTTTAATTAAATTTAAACAAAGTATTTTGTTACTCACAATCACGTCAAACTTGGAATAAATGTCCACCACCTTCCCTGAAACACAAGAGAGGGTTAAAATTTGTTTCTCTAGGGCAGGGGTGTCAAACTCATTTTGGTCCGGGGGCCGAATAGAACCTAATCTGATCTCAAGTGGGCCGGACCAGAAGATGCTCTACAAAAATACCCAAAAACGGTACAAAGTCCAACTTTTTGTGCACATAAACACATTTATATAAAACTTCCTTTAAAACACTATCTTTTAATACTCGCTCAGTTTTAACGGTAAATCTGTTACAAACTTAAATGTAACAGTAAGTTTTTCATAGTGCAAATAATGTAATGTATATACAATATTACATTGTAAATGGCATTTCACAATATTTATATTAATATTTGTATGTTAGCTTTGTTTTAAGGCTCATTACAGAGAAAACTTGCTCACAAAGGTAAAGTAGGCAGATAGAAAAAAGCACTTTAACACAGCACCTCAGCTTAACCATCTTCAGTGTGGTAAGGTCCACGGTTATGTTATTATCACAGAGAAAGCATCAAACTGAACATGATTCAGTTGAAATGAAAAAAACAACTTCAATAACGGGATCTATTCTGAACGACTGCAGTGTCTCTGTGTAAAATACAGTCAAATGCCCAAATATCATCACCTCCATTTGCAGCTTTGTCACTACACCTGCCTTTACCATCGGCAACAGGCTGAGAGCGCACACCTCTGTCCAACACACCAGCAACAACAGCAGAACCAGCAGCTGCACCAGCAACAACAGCACCAGCAGCGCTCAAAACTCCTCTGTGATAGTTTTATTAACACCACAAATGAATATGCGACATTAGTAACACCAGTCTCTCATCAATGGCAACATGTTGGTGACAGCGAGTGGTTTCAGCAGTGGCGAGCCTGTATGAGAGTTTTAACAACTCTCTCACTGTGTGGCTGTGATGCTAATGCTATGTTTTTAGCACTCAGACTCAGGTAGCTTCCCTATACAGTAGCATCACTAACCTCTCGCTCTTGGCACAATCAAAGTGCCGAATTTTTCCCAGAGTCTCGTACTTTAAAGTGGACATATCGTGTTTTCAAATAATTGATTTTTACATTTAAATCATTCATTTGTGGCCTATATAAAGCGTAACTGCAATGCGTGGGTCTGAGTCTCATTATTTGTAGCTCCACGGGCCTTTCTTCTACACCTGTTCTGAGGTGCGTCTGAGAGCAACCTGTTTTGGTGCTGTCTCTTTAAATGCAAATGAGGCGCTTTTGACCACCCCCCCATCCAGGTGACACAGGTTCAACTCATGGATCTATTATAATAACTGGATAGGGTATTACTAGCTTGTAGCTGAATAACTCATGTGCTCAGGGGATTCTCGCGGTACTGCAGACTGAACCAGACTAAATTCACGTGGGCTACCCAGAAATGTTCCCCATAGAACTCAATGCATATTAAAACAGCTCGACCTCAGCTGACAGAGAACCTACAGCTTTCATAAAGGTCGGATTTTGTGGGGATTTTAGTGTCCCTTGTCATCCTGAACTTTTTTTCTTCTGAAATCCTTCGGTTTTGTTTAAATCCACACTTTAGTGCCACAAACTCTGCTCGTCTGGCTCTCGCTCTAACTCCCGCTCTGATGAACTGCTCTGATTGGTCAGAGCGCGGCCGAGCCCCTCTGTGCACGTGCGTGAGACCTGGTGTGAGACTCACACACGCGTGTTTGGTGCAACGCATTATGGGAGATCAACCACTGCACAAAACCGGGAGGACCAGACGATGCCCAAATACAGGCCAGTTTCCCATAGATCTTTGCGAGTTTCAGGCAACTTCCGCTAATCTTTCAGCCCCCATGCCGACAAAGCGCCACTGAGCACAACCATTCATTTGAATAGGGCGCCATCTTGGATCGCCGGGGCTTGGTTCAACTCCACCCAGAGCGGCCATTTTTGTAGTTTCAGATTCAGATTCAGATTCATTTATTTGCCATTTGCAGTAAAACCACATAGGAAAAACTATGTGTTTCTAAGCACTATGTGTTTCTAAGCACAGATACAATTATCTCATAGAAACTTCTCATTACATCGCAAATATGAAGCAGGCCTTCCTCATTGACTGAAAGCAAATGTTAAGTTTCATTCTTAGTCCAGTCTTAATATCGACTCTTCTCTTTTTAGCTTTGGGATACATGCGCACAGTCTATGATGCTCACACGCCGGTTTGTTTACAACAACGGCCGCCTGGCGCGGGCCTACGTCGCAGGATATGACACACACTTGTCCAACCTGGGTTCGAATCCCGGTTGGACCAGGGCCTTTCTGAGTGGAGTTTGCATGTTCTCCCCGTGTCTGCGTAGGTTTCCTCCGGGTGCTCCGGTTTCCCCTACCACTAAAGATATGTACAATAGGTCTGGCATGTGCCTCCTGTACTGGCACCCCCACCCAACAATTGTAAACCGCTTTGAGACTCCGATGTGCAGTGAAAAGGCGGTATATAAATAAAGCTTACTACTTACTACTACTCCTACGTTTACAGAAATGTTTAAATTGAATATTACTTATGCACAATTTTACAGCATTTAAAAACGTTAAGAACGTTTTTCCTTCTACAGAAGGAAAGAGACGCACGCGCCTCCGGAGCCGCAGGTTGCAGACTCCTAGTTTACACAGTATGTGGAAGCAAATACTGTAGAGGATCAGGATATGTGCAGTTTCAACAATAAAATAAAATGCAATAGTCTACATTACAAGAAAGTAATAAACATGTCTCAGAGTGAGGGAGGTGGGCACAGACAACACTATTGTTTGTTACAGGGATGAGAAGTGGTCAAAAAAGACTGAAATGCATATTGTCAGCCATTTGCTGGCTCTAAATCTGTTTAATTTGTTCACAACATATTACTTTTGGGCTCGAACATGAACTTTTAATGCAATGTAAAATGTAGGTATCAGAGCTTTATTTAGGGCGTTTAATCGCGCTTCGAGAGGAGAGGGGAGACGCGGACTGTTTCCTGCAGCAGTGTATTTATTGGGTGCACAGATTACTTAAAGACACGCATGGTCCTGTGCGCGTTTATGGGGTTGGGTACATGGCCACGTTGAGGCTGCGCGTTCAGCCGCAACACGGTTGAGCAGCTGAGCCTCTTGCAGCCGCTGGATGCAGAAACCGCTCATTACAAAGCGGCCGCTGAGGTGGTGGAATCCCGTTCGAGTACATACAGCAGGTGCCCCATGGATACGCGCGCCCCGCTCCAAAAATTCTCCACGAATTATCACTTCTCATAAACATGTGTTTTGTATGAGGCAGACAGACCGGCCCAAATATGGGCATCGGCCCTTTGGGCATAGCCCGGTACGCCCGATGGCCAGTCCAGCCCTGTTCGCTGGCATCCTTGAGCTTGGACTACAAATTCGAAGTGATGCACAGTAGAGGAGGGCTGGGCCGAAGTGCTTTGTTAGACGCCCATGCCCTTATATAGCAGTCTCGCTGCAAATACTGTGACGTAATAATTCTAAACACGTAATAGAGAATGGCAAAATCAGAACGGGTTGAAAAATCTTACCTAAACAGAATATGAAGTGTTCTCTGCAACCCATGAAGAGACTGATTTCAACTTTTTTGCACTTCTAGAGGCTCCAACTTCACAACATAAGGCATTTAAGGATGCCAGGATTTTTCATGATATGTCCCCTTTAAGATGTTATTCCTTCAGCACCGCTCTGGTGGAGCCACTACAGACGTACTGGACTCACTCCTGAGCGCGGAGCCTCGCGTCGCGGATTTTGTTATTTTTTATTATTATCATCATTTTACATAGATGAGCCGCGGGCCGTATCAAATCTCTTGGGCCGCATGAATGACACCCCTGCTCTTGGGTCTCTGGTCTCTGAAGACTCTGGTCTCTGAAGACTCTGGTGTCTGAGGTCTCTGAGGTCACTGGTCTCTGAAGACTCTGTTCTCTGAGGTCTCTGAGGTCTTTGGTCTGTGAGGTCTCTGGTGTCTGAGGTCTCTGGTGTCTGAGGTCTTTGGTCTCTGAGGTCTCTGAGGTCTCTGGTCTCTGAGGTCTCTGGTCTCTGAGGTCTCTGAGGTCTCTGAGGTCTCTGAGGTCTCTGGTCTCTGAGGTCTCTGGTCTCTGGTCTCTGAGGTCTCTGGTCTCTGAGGTCTCTGGTCTCTGAGGTCTCTGAGGTCTCTGAGGTCTCTGGTCTCTGGTCTCTGAGGTCTCTGGTCTTACCGCTGTGGTCCACCACTGGCAGGGCAGACACTCGGCTGTGTGTGAAGAGGGACAGGGCGGTGTAGAGGGCGGTGTCTGGGTGGATGAAGGAGATGTTGCTGTAGGTGCCCACCCCCAGCTCCTCCAGACTCTGCTTCATGAAGCTCGGCATGGCCATCTCACAAACCTGCAACAGACCAGTCAGCTCTGTGGAGGGGAGTAGCAGGCGTACTAGCAGTAGCATAAGCAGTAGCATAAGCAGTAGCATTAGCAGTAGCGTTAGCAGTAGCATTAGGAGTAGCATTAGCAGTAGCATTAGCAGTAGCATTAGCAGTAGCATTAGCAGTATCAGTAGTATCAGACTCACAAACAGCTGCAGGAACTTGAGGATCCTCTTGTGTGTCAGGATGTACAGAGCGTTTCCACTGATCGGGTCGATCACCGGTAAACGGTGGATCTTATGTCTGATCAGGGAGTGGACGGCCTCAAACACACTGAGGAGAGAAGACAGGTCCTGAAGGTGCATTCAACATTGGTCTCTCTGTTTCTGCTCTCTCCCTGGTGTTTCTCTCTCTCTCTCTCTCTCTGGTCCCTCTCTAGTCTCTCTCTTTGTCGTATTTCTTGTGTGTTTGATAGCTCTAATGATCAACACTGACCTGGCGTCTGGAGAGATGTGCACCAGAGGTTTGAACGTCTCCTGTAAGTACAGCTCTGAAAGAAGAGCAACACCATTAGGACACAGGAAGTACTACACGCACACACACACACACACACACACCTCTCCATGTCTCTATCTTGTGCTCCTCCAGTTCATAGATTTGGACCTGAGAACAAGAGTTAAAAGTGAATGTGTTAATGTGTGAACGTGTGAATGTGGTCGTACCATGGGAGACTTGTAGTATCTGGTCAAGATGTTGATGAAGTCTGTGATGGTCAGCATCCCTGCGAAAATAACACACAATTCAGACCTACAACCCCAGTCCTGGGTCTACAGCCTCAGTCCTGGATCTACAGCCTCAGTCCTGGATCTACAGCCTCAGTCCTGGATCTACAGCCTCAGTCCTGGATCTACAGCCTCAGTCCTGGGTCTACAGCCTCAGTCCTGGATCTACAGCCTCAGTCCTGGGTCTACAGCCTCAGTCCTGGGTCTACAACCTCAGTCCTGGGTCTGCAGCTTCAGTCCTAGGTCCACAGTATTTTGAAACCAGAAGCCATCTATTTGGTGAAATTACATGGCTCGTCTGATTTCATGGTGTAATTCAGAAATTACATAATCTGTGCTCCAGGTTAAACTAGAGACCCCTGGTGTGAAGACTCTTACCCACAAAGCTCTGCTTCTTACTCTCCCACAGCGGAGCTGCTCTGACGCCATTGGCCACGAGAGCAAAGAAGGCCTTCTTCACCTGGAACAGACCAAATAGTCCTGCTTTAGTCCTGCTTTAGAGCTGCTTTAGACCTGTTTTAGTCCTGTTTGAAGGCTTGTGTATACTCGCGCGGGGCTGATTACGTTGGCGGTTGCGCTGGACCTACGCTGGCACAGTTGCTCCACTGGGGCGTACCCATGGATCTATTATAATAACGGGCGTACCCCCCTGCTTGTTTTGAAGAGAATGTTGTAATCCCACACCCAACCACATGATGGCGATCCCACAGGAATTACCTGGGACACCAAAGTGGTCCCATTTACGCTGCAACTTTCTCCTCTTCAAAACAAAAACACTAGTGAACCAAGCTGTTTGAGCTCATTAAATGTGTATCTAGGTTTATGTGATAGTTCTATGGACTCATTGTCTCAACTCATGAGATCATTTTGAACTCATTTCAACTGTGATGCTGTGAATAAAGACACAGTTCTAGTAGAAACATAGTTGTTATTATTAAAGTGTATTCATGCACAAACAGCAAAATAATAAAATAATTTATCTGAGACCAAACATGAACTATGTATAAGTACAGGATGAATTGAACAGACGCAATGAGCTTCAAGCACAGATTCAAACAAAGACACGGTAACAGTGCAAAACAAACGACTGGAGAGTATATAAGTTTGAATATATGTTCGATAGACAGTCCATGACCTCTGCGTATATCCCAAAATGCTTTTCCTTTGGTTCCCTTCGAAGCAGTCTGCTCCGAAGTGCCTCGTCCATGTTCCCCAGCAACCGCTCTATGCTTCCATCCAAAATGTAATCCCACACAGGCCAATCACAGAGCACCTTCTCTGTGCTAACGGCTGCTGAGATAGACATTTTTAAGGGTGCACGGGTGGATATACGCAAGGGTCTTGTATACACCAGGCTTAAGTCTGGCTTTAGACCTTCTTTAAACCTACTTAAGCCCTACTTAAGCCCTACTTAAGCCATGCCCTAGACCTGCATCACACCTGCTTTAGACCTGTGTTAGACCTGCTTTAGTCCTGCTTTAGACCTGTTATAGTCCTGCTTTAGTCCTGCTTTAGACCTGTTATAGTCCTGCTTTAGTCCTGCTTTAGTCCTGCTTTAGACCTGCTTTAGTCCTGCTTTAGACCTGCTTTAGTCCTGCTTTAGACCTGCTTTAGACCTGCTTTAGACCTGCTTTAGTACTGCCTTAGTACTGCCTTAGTACTGCTGTAGACCTGCTTTAGTCCTGCTTTAGTCCTGCTTTAGACCTGCTTCGGACTTGCTTTGGTCCTGTTCTAGTTCTGGTCCATTACCTGTAGTGTGGTGTCAAACACGACCAGTTTGGAGCTGGTGGGGACAATGTCGTAACATTTGTGACACTTCATGAACCTCATGTAGATGTCCCGCTCCGAGTCCAGACCTGGACACATGACAGCATCAAAAACCAAACACCTTGGACCAGGTCCAGAGCAGCTCCAGATCCTCTGCTCTTTGGACTTGGTTCATAGCAGGAGGAATGTTCATGGAAAAAGTCAAATGTTTTCTCTGTATTTTTTTTGTAAATTTCTCCTATGTGAGATAAATAAAGCAAATCTTATCTTATTGAACACAATGTGTGTGTTTATAACTTCTTATATTGGGGGTTATTAGTGTTTATAATGTGCTGAGTAGAAGGTGTTCTCACCGTCCTCTGGCTCCTGAGGCTCCTGAGGCCCCTGAGGCTCCTGAGGGTCCAGGACATCGTCCAGCTAAAGAACAAACACGGCTTACTACAGCATTCAGACAATCAAAAACTGAAGTTAGAACAGGGCAACATCTTGTCCCACATGTTTTTTTAACGTCAGGTCAACTCAACAACATCAACTAATCGTGTTTCGCCTGCAGTGATTCACCGTTAGCTAACTTTGACGCTTCGGTCTGAGTCTCTTTTCACTCTTCTAATGAGACAGACGCCAACAACACATGATGCAAAACTAAAGAGAGATTTGTATGAGAGCCAGGAACTAGAGGCCTGGGTTTTATGAGAGTTTAATTATTGTGCTCTGAAGTCAGCTACCACAGCTTTAAACTGCGCACTTTGATCATGTTATAATCATCATTATGAGCACAATAACGCTGTTGGTGTCGCAGCTCTAAAGCTCCATCCTCAGTCTGACTCCAGCTCCTGGTGCTGATGCTGCGGCCTCGAATTACCGTCATCTCCGCCACTGTGCCCCGCTCCCGGTGCCTCCGCTGGTCCGTGCGGCCTGCTCGGCTGAGAGAGATGACACTGCTCCTCTCCGGTGTCCTGGAGCTGCGGTGGCCGACCTGAGAGCACGTCTGCCCCACTTCACTCCGCCACTGTGCTCGCTTGTCACCGGACGATACTGACAGCTAGCAGCTAACTCCTTCACAACAAAAGCACTGCGCATGCTCCATGCCTGCCACTTTTTAAACAGTTCAACGTTAAAAACATCGCGCTGTCGCTGTTTATTCTATGTGTTTATAATTGTTACAATAAAATCCAATATTTAGACAAAAAACAAGTTTTTGTTGTAAATTTGTTTGACTTCCTGTAGTAGTGTAATGACGTGGACTTTATAGAAGCCGAAAATGACAAATACTTTTCCTGGATTCTTTTTAAATCTCTATACTTCAATATTTTTTTCAGAACTGCACACAGCATAAAACTACACCAAATCATAACAGCAATCATCTCGAAGAAAAGAGAACTATTGAACTGTTCATAGTTTTTTCTAATCTGCTGTTGATTTGCCAACAGCAGATTACTGCTCCGAAAAAGCTATCTCAGAGATACTGGCATATATATTTTGATATTGATGATGATTGTGGAGGTGTGACTACGGGAGAGAGACCAGAGGGACCAGAAAGAGCAAACAAAAAGAAAGACCAGACAGCATAGAGAGAGAGAGAGAGAACAAAGAGAGAGACAGAGATCTGAGGGAGAGAGACCGGAGAGAGACCAGATAGAAACCAGAGAGAGAGAGACCTGGTCTCTTGCCAGAGAGAGTCACAAGAAGCTGAAATAAAATCACAATAGCACAAGAGGAGGTGGGACTAAAAGGACATTGGTTTTCAAGTGCTTGACTATAGACCAGTGGCGGCCGGCCAATAGAGGGCGCTAGGGCGCCGCCCCACCACTCACAACTTGCCATGTTACCTTGAATAAAACGTTAAAAAAAAGAATAACATTAAAATATTTCGAAATGTATGTGTGTTTTATTTCAGATGTGGAAGAAATACTTTATAGTTTATGCTGAGTTGGATTGATTAAGCTCATCAGCGTTGTCTGTGTCGGACTGAGGACGTATTTCCGCCTCAGGGCGCAAAAGATTGCGCCCTGAGCCGTCTATGGACTCTCGTTAAAAGTTGTACATGCGCAGTAGCTCCTCTTCAATGCAAGAGATAAGACGATTTGGGGGCGCAGGAGAAGTGCGCCCTGAGGGGGCGGGATCGCCCGCGACCTGTACTGTCACTGTCTGTGACGTCCGTTTACAGTGATTGACAGGTCAAGCTGTGGGAGTTTGAGACGAACGTAAAGAGACGCAAAATGGAGAACGAGAAAAAGAATAATTCAGTTAGATCACTCAAAACAATACCGTTTGAGAGAAGATCATACCAGGAGAAGGTTGAGGTTAAAGAGCTTGGACCTGATCAGCCAAATATTACCATTAGTCAGCAGTCCAGCGACAGGGGGAGACGGTACACTCGTACTTTTCCAGGACCTGGTTCAGCGCCAAATCTTGGCTAGCAGCATGTAGTGAGGCTAATGCTTTATTTTGCTTTCCATGCCTCTTGTTTCAAACATCAGGATCTGACCCAGCATGGATCAAGACAGGTATGACTGATCTGAAGCACTTTTTAGAAAAGGCAAAGAAGCATGAGCAGACTGGTATCCACATGCAAAATGCCCTCAAATTAGCTATGTTTGGGAAGATAAATATTTCATTCTCGTGTGAGGCTTCAGTCACAACAGTCAGTGTAAACTTACTTACTGTTGGTATATATCTAGTCATCATATTCATAGCCCCCCCAGTAGAAAATTCCACCAGCCGCCACTGCTATAGACTTGTGGAACATCACCTGTAAAGGGGGCGCGGCTTTTTGCTTCAGAGTCGGCGAAGTAGGCGTGGCATGCCGCGGTGGGGGGCGCGTCCATGTGACTGGAGGCGACGAATAAGAGCGCAGTCTGCCGGCGTCTCTGCGGCGAGGTTCACTCTGATAGGTCATGAGGGGGAAAGGGGGTGGGGCCTGGGAGGGGGTGGCAGAGACACTGAGGGCTGAGAGGGAAAGCAGGGGGGGACAAAGCAGCCATCATCAGAGATACTTCTATCATCGAAGACTGTACAAGTGAGACCAGAGGCCAAAGAGACCAGAGAGGGGGACCAGAGACCAGAGAGGGAGACCAGAGAGAGAGCAGCTACAAATACTCAAAAATAAGAGAGGGCTCAGAGTGGAGCCCTGAGGAACCCCACAGCTGCACTGCCTTGTACCTGTGAATCATTGTGAATTCTGACCTCTGGGTTTGTTTCTCTTGAAAAGTTTGATGCTGACAGAAGTAATCCCGCTGAAGCTCATCCTGCCACACACACACAGACACACACACATGAATAATAATACAGAGTGCGTGTGTGTGCATGTGTGTGTGAGCGTGTGCTGACCGGTGTTTGGTCGGCCTCTGGGACAGGTTGGACAGCGACTCGGCCTGGACAAACAGTACACACATCATGCTGAATATGAATAAGAATTTTTTTCTGGTCTGGTCGTACCTTCCTGTGTCCAAGTTTATGTGACTCCATTTTCAACGATCTGTAATCACACATAAAACGTACTTTACTACTCCAAATACTGTCACTTATGCCCTCTCTCTCTCTCACTCTTTCTCTCTCTGGTGTCTCCCTCTATCTCCTTGTCTTCAGCCTGATGACGCTGATGCTGACCCTGATGCTGACCCTGATGCTGAGCTGTGTTTCTTCATGAAGCTTGTTTATGTGTAAACTTTCTCACACTCCGGTGCGCTCTCTGCCTCCCCCTGTGACCGACAGCGTTACTGTACACCTGGGGAGGTGCAGTCATATTTTGAGGTTTTCTTCATCTCTCTTCATGTGATTCTATCCATGCCAGATGAGACATGCACATTTATCCTGTGTGAGATCAATAAAGTTTATCTTATCTTATCTTCAAGTGTTTTAAAAGTGCTTTAAAATAGTCCCTGAAATATACTCACGACCTACATGTTCAACCTTCATCAAAAATCACATAAACAGATGTTGATTCCTCCAGACCATTTGGACTATTCTTTTATTTCAACTTTGCTGTAGCCTTACATTCTCTCATCATGTATTCACATTATACATTTCAAATCTTTGACCTAATCATGATTTTTAAGGACTAAAATAAACCAAAAGGAAAGTTTGAAAGCATGAATAATAACAGAAGAGGTTAAAAAAAAAGGTTTTGAAAACAAAATTATTCTGGGTGGCACAGTGGCTGAGTGGATAGCATTCTCAATTCTCAGCAAGGGTTCAAATCCTGGTTGTGACATGGCCTGAGTGGAGTTTGCATGTTCTCCTCATGTCTCTGTAGGCTTCCTCCGCATATACCAGTTTCCTCTACCATTAAAAACATGTACAATTGGTCTGGCATGCGCCTCCTGTACTGGAGATGCTCCCATCTCTGTGTGGAGTGAGAGACAAAAGCCCACAATAGTAAACTGCTTTGTGACTCTGGTCTGTGGAAGGCGGTATATAAATAAAAATTACATACTAAGATTATTCACACAGTTCTAAAGGAACGATAGAGCGATAAGCTTTTTGTGACAAATATATGTTGTATTCAGATCAGCTATTTGCCCAGTGTCCAAAAGTGACTCACGGGGCTCTGTCTTACACAAAAATGTTTTCTAATGAGATAAAGACAGCATGTTTTCATGAGACTAAAGCTACAAAGCCATCTTTGAAAGATACTGCAACGTGTTAGTTAGTCGTTAAACATGTGAACTAATGAAAGTTTAAAGTGAAGAGCCCTGTGAGGCACTATGTCCCTGTTTGAGGCTGAAACAGGACAACCCTAAAGCACAAACTTGAACCAAAGAGTTTTGAGAGAAAAGAATGAGGTAAATCTGATTATGGTCCTAATCCTTCTCCACATTCTGCAGACACAGACTGGAGCGGTCCGCTTAAGAAACATAGATTCTAAAGATTATAATGACAGAGTTAGAGCGGCTGTGGGTCCTACCTGAGTCCTGCCTGTGCGGCTGCAGTCTGGTCATGTCTAAGGACAAATCCAGAGGAGGAGCCCAGACCACACTGCTCCCCTCCCTCTGTAATAGCTCTTAAACTAAGTCAGGCAGACCTGGGGGAGGGCTGTGATGGGAGACTTCAGAAAACAGCAGTGCAACTAGGGAATGAGTGATTGTGTCTCAAAAATTTCCTTTTTTTGTGACCCCGGGAGGGGCACAAAGGATTCCTGTTCAGACCACACCCCAGGTCTACAGTTTGTCTGCCCATTCAAATCCAGAACGGAGGTTGTTGAACCAGGACTGAGGAGAGTTACTCGTTTACAGCTATTGCAGTAAAAACAAACAAATTGGACAAAATGTTGTTTATTAGAAATAAAACACATTTACAGATATCAAAACTAATCTGTTTATTCTTCATTTACAAAATGTACAACAAACTGAATTTGAGTTGCATGTTCTGCCCGTATCAGAACAACGTTTTATATAACTATGGCCACATAAAGTTACAGCACAGTCCCCCGTTGACAGTTAAGTGATTTTGTTGTTGACGTTCTATAACCATCAGGACACAACAGATTTTCTTAAATGCTCTTCAATCCGAGGTTGACACTTCTACCTGTGTTAGATCTTCCCCTTCAACCACCACCTCTCCATCAATCACGACAACGTCCTGCCCCCCAGACCTGCCAATCAAAACAACATCCCGCCTCCCGGAACCATCAATCACAACCACGTCCCTCCCACTAACTCCGTAGTCGTGCTCCGCTAGCAGCAGTACTTCCTGCTCGCCTGTTGAGCCGGTTACTTCCTGTTCGGTTAGCATCACCACGGTCGCTCCAGACTCTGCCCATTGCCCCGTATCCATGACGACAGCCTGGACGATTTCCCCTTCATCTGTCCCTGCCCCCTCACCGGTGTCACCTGACATCTCCCCTTTGTGTACGCCTGTTGCCGTGACGTCACTCTCGCCGTAGTCATGCTCCCATGCCGCAACTGCACCTGTTTCCACCCATTCCCCCGTATCCATGACAACGGTTTGGACGGCTTCTTCAGCTCCTACCCCACCTGACTCCTCCCCCTTGTTTACACCTGTCTCCACTGGACCCTCACCCTCCTCCCCAGGTTCCTGCCCCTCGGTCGGACTCGGATTGCGCTCCTCGTCTTCCTCACTAAACACAATGGGGGGAGTGTCATCGTTGTAGCCATAGCGACGCTTCGGGATCGGGTCGCCGTGGATGCGTTGCTGGTGCTGATGCAGGTTACCAAGGCGAGCGAAGCTCTGACTGCACCTGAGACCAGAGAGGAAGAAAACAGCTTTATTTGTGAGCATGTGATGCCACCTATAATTTATGCTAACCCGTTAGCTCAGCACTAAGTTTTCAAGTTAATCCGTCTCGTTCCCCGACCCTCACCTTTCACAGTTGTAGGGCCGGTCTCCGGAGTGCACCAGCAGGTGGCGCTCGAGCTTGGAGCGGTACTGCTGGTCCGTGTGACAAATGGGGCAGACGTGGGCAGGTCGTGGCTGCCCGTCCGGGTGCACCGTCTCTGTGTGCCGTTTAAGATGGCCAATGCGGCGGAAGGAGCGTGCACACACGTGGCACTGGTACGGCCGACTTTCAGAGTGCACCACCATGTGTGCCAACAGCAGCGACGGGAAACGGAATGTGCGTGAGCAAACTGAGCACGCAAACGAACAGGGCCGCGAGGGGGCGGGGCCTCCTCTCAGAGAGGAGGTGGAGATATCTGAGGGAGCGGGGACAGCGGCGGGCGGAGCCGAGTTGTGGAAGTGAATCTGTGGAGAAACAAGAGATGAGAAAAACTTTATTATGGGGTAACCCTCACTGATGTGGCTAAATTAAGCTAATGTGGCTGAAAAGAGCTATCTGTCGTGGAGCTAACGCTGGTTAACTTTTCCCAACACTAGCTAGCTCTTGCTAGCTCAGGCTATCTCTTGATAGCTCTGGCTAATGTCGTACCTGATGCTGTTCTAGCGTCTGCACGCGGAGGAAGCGTTTTCCACACTCTCCGCAGCGGAACGGCTTCTCTCCAGAGTGAGCTGCTCTGTGGTCCTCAAGCTGAGACATGGAGCGCATCCTCCTGCCACAGATATCACAGACGAGGCCTACAGGGGGAAAGAGAAGGTGAGAAGATAGAAGGTGAGGAGGAGCTCAGTCCCAAACACGGCTTTAGAGGCCTGTCTTAGACAGCTGTTTAAAATTTTCCGAAACTGCCATTCTGTGCCTCAGAGTTGTACACTATGCAAATGCATGTTATTAATCCAATAGACCAGCTGTAAGCTCGTGGCTACCTCGACAGCCGCAAGCAGATAGTCGGTAAAATGACATTGGTCAAGACCATCTCGACAGAACATCGGCTCCATGTGTTTGTGTGAGAAGAAAAGAGTTGTCTGAGGGTCAGCTCATATCATTCTGGTTTATGGAGTAAAGTGGTTCAATGATGATGTAAAAGGACATTCACCGCTCTTGGCGTCCCCCTCAGCCTCCGGTGCCTCCTCTGTCTGCGGCGCCTCCATGTGATGAGTGGTGGCAGTGTGCACCTGTCAAAGGTCAAACCATAAGAATCGCTGAATGGATCCAAATCAAGTCCAGGTCTAATATGAGGAGGTTCCTAAAGCAGCACTGAAACTCATCAGAATAACATTGGGTTAGGGTTAGGGTGCACCCAATGTGTGAAGAAAAAAAATCCAAAATCCAAAAAATCTTTCACCAAAATCCATCAAATGTCACAGACCTGCGGCTGTGTTTAGCTCTGGTTTCAGGAACCCCCCACTTCTGTCTTTATGCTGTTATCAATCTCGTTGGTATGGTTGACCAAGGACATTGTTGTCACTTTCTTTTCTCTCTCTGGTCTTTCTGACCATAGGAAGCACTAAAAACATATTTTTTAAGTCCACAAAATTTGTGTTGCATGCAACAGAAGCCAGAGCGAGTTGGAGCCAAAATTCACCATGAGCATTTCCCTATTCCAATGCTTCCTAACATTGTCTACATACATGCATACAAACACACATACAGACATGCATACAAACTACAGGTGGCGCTGTACCTGCAGCTGCTGTCTGCGGCTGAAGCTCCGCCCACACAAGTGACACAGGTGTGGTCGCTCGCCTGTGTGCCTCTGCATGTGGAGAGAGAGCAGGGATTGACAGCTGAAGCTCCGCCCACAGTGGTGACACAAGTGCTGAGGGGGAGGAGGGGGGGAGGCCGTGCCGTTGGGGTGACGTCGCTTTATGTGATGCTCGAGGTCGTTCATCCTGAGAAAGTAAATAAATAGAAAAAATAAATCGGTTTCCAGTCTCTAGCCGTCTGGTCTCACCTCATGTATGATTTGTTGCACAGAGGACATTTGCATGGTTTCAGGCCTGTGTGGATCATTTCGTGTGTCTTCAGTCGGCTTCGATATAGGAAGGTCTTGCCGCAGGTGTGACAGAGCCATGTGACTGGTGAGGGGCGGGGCTTCAGCCGGGAGGTGGAGCCGTGCGGGTGCATGATGCGCAGGTGGTGCTGCAGGTTATCTGTGCGGAGAGGAAGTCACAGATATGAACGAAGACCAAGCAAGAGTGAGGCTCTGGTTTCTCTCTCTCTCTCCGCTCTCTCTGGTCTCTCACCTTTCCTGTTGAATCGAAGGCGGCAGAACCGGCAGCAGTATGGCTGTGTTCCGCTATGTACCAGGACGTGTCTCTGGAGGCTGGATTTACACGCCATCACTTTTCCGCACACTTCACAGACCACGCCCCCCTCTGTCGCAAGTCCTTCCTCCTCCTTCCCACACCCCGCAGCATCCTGGGAAATGCTGTTCTGTAGAGTAGCTGGTGTCCAGTTTGGGTCAGTGCTGCGGTTTAGATCTGAGAGAAGAGAGCCAATCGTGAGAGGGCTGTCATCAGGAGCTACACTAGTGTCTGTGTAGAGCTGTCATCGGGAGCTACACTAGTGTCTGTGTAGAGCTGTCATCGGTAGCTACACTAGTGTCTCTGTAGAGCTGTCATCAGGAAATACACTAGTGTCTGTGTAGAGCTGTCATCAGGAAATACACTAGTGTCTCTGTAGAGCTGTCATCAGGAGCTACAGTAAGAGCTAAACAGAAGATACCTTTGTCCTTGTCTTCCTCCTCCTCTGCTCCTCGTCTCCTCTTCCTCTCTGAACTTTCTGTGAACTCGTAGTCCTGGTACCTCGGTGAAGGTCTGATCTGCCGAGTCCTGGTCCGGGTCTGGGTCCGGTACTGATCTGACGAAGTCTGAACCGGGCTCCCGTGGGGATCTTTGGCCTCAGGGTTAGGTTCAGAAAGGGTTTTGGTGTCTGGATATTGGCTTCTCTCTGGTTTTGTCTCTGGTCTGGTCACTGGTTCAGTCTTTGGTTTGGTCTTGGTCTGGTCTCGCCTGGGTCTTCCCCGGCCTCTGGCTTTAACACAGTGCTGCAGCAGAGCGCCCCCCTGTGGTCCGTCCCCTCTCACGCTCACACACTGAAGAGCTATGGAGTCACCTGGACAAAAGAATTTGAAAAACACTGTAAAACTCTGGCAAATGTTGTTAGTGAGCACTTCTCCTTTGCCGAGATAATCCACCACCCCTCACAGACGTGTGATACCTGTGAGCGCCTGTGTGATGAGGTCCACTTGCACTGCACTGTCCGAGGTCTGAGTCCGGTCACACTGAACCCCCACCTCCCTGTGAGACACTTGTGAGTCCGGACAAGACACCAAGTCTGAGTCTGGAGGATCCCACTGCACCCCCACCTCCTTGCGAGACAATGAAGAGTCCGGACCAGAGGCCGAGTCTGGAGGCTCCCACTGCACCCCCACCTCCAGTTGACAAACACGATCCATCTGCACCTGAGGAACATTTCAAACTTGATGAGTTATCCCCTTGCAATTAATTCACAAACCTTTCTCTGAGAGAGACGTCTGCTAATCAACAATGATATTACATCTTTTAATCAATGTGATTGTTTTGATTTCATTTTTTTGTTATACATTTTCTGTAAAGGGTTTCAGATAAGAGGCTTTAAAACCATTTATTTTTCTGAATGTAGTATTTTACTGGGATAAGAATGAGAGATGTCAACAGAGATAAATTCCGAATCATTACTGATTAGTAACTCTGCTATTACAGTAGTTCTTCTATGAGGGGGAAGACCACAGATTGAAACCCGTAGTGAATTATTAAAAAAGTTATACAAATAAAAAATTGAAAGAAACAATGTTCTCCTGCTCCTGCTTCAGCACGAGTCTACAAAATTTGAATTAGTGTCTTGTTTACAATCATCTTTTTTTCCCCTCCGCAGCTATTTCAAACTGTTACTTGTTCGTTTTACCATCACACCGATCTACAATCAGATCATTGTTATAATTATGATCAAGGGCACATTTAGTACTCATCATTGCCCGTTACCTTAAGACTGTAGTAAAGGTTGTCTCACTAATTATACCCCGGGCAGAACATATTCAGGGAAAAATATACGGATCGATGCTAACAGACGTAGCACGTTAGCCCCGCGCGCTTTATCTTCACAAACTCACAAAATGTTGAAGTCAATCTGCGTTGTTCTCCGCGAGCTTCCAATCTTGACGAATCCGGACAAGAACTAGAAAATCACGTTTGAATAAACTTAGAAAAATAAACTAAAAATAATAATAAAATTGAACTTTGAGTGAAGGATATGCAATATTTTCCCAACCCAGTTACGCCACAGACCAGATCCTAACACTGGGGGCTGCACGAGGAAATGACTGTTTTTGGTGATATATCAGGTCACAGTTGGATCAATATTTAATCGTGGGTGAGGAATCAACCTCGTTACATTAGTTAAGTCTAGTTTAAGCTTTGGCTTGTTCAGGTTATGGTTTGCTAACACAAAACTGTGGCGGTGCTGCGTGAGGAAAAAAGTGACGGAAGTGATCGGCTACATCCGAGTTCCAAATGTTTTACTCCTTGTCCTCCCTTATAATTTGAAAACGTATCTTTATGTGAGATACATATAATAGTTTGGGACAAAATACGATTCAAGTCTGTTCATATACTTTTTAAATGCCAAATTGTACAATTTAATCTTAAGAAACGTATTGAAAAAAAATAAAGGAGGTCTTTCTTTAGATTTCAGATGCGTTCAAGTTTCGTAGCCAAAATGGCGCCTTCCATTTTCCCCATCACATCACTGTCAAACACTGTCATCTACACTGTCAGCGTTGATGACATAGCGTTAGATCAGTGTTACTTTCAGTAGATCCGAGTTTATTTTGGAATTTGAGAAAGAACTGCAAAAATACTTCTGCTAAGTGGGGGAAAATACGCGTTAAGGCGGGAATAGCGCAGGGGTGACGCCTGGTGGCCACCTGGAAGCAGGGTCGGCACTAGATCATATACGGAATCGGGACGAAACCGGAAGTAACAATCCTACTTTCGAATTAGTTTTAGACTAATAAGTCCTTAAGTGGTGACTGGTTAAATTTTAGGTGTCTGAGTAAGATGGTTAAGAGTGGGTTGGGGTTATTTTATGGGAATGGCTGGTTAAGTTTAGGAATAAATAGGTAGTTTGTTATATTTACTTCCGCTTCCGTCTCAATTCCGTATATGATCTGGTGCTGACCCCTGGGGAGCAGGGCAGGGACCCAAGCCCCGGTGATCCAAGAGGGCGCCCTATTCAAATGAATGGCTTATGCTCAGTAGCGCATGGGACATCGGGCGCTGACATATTAGCAGTACTCGCCTATATTTGGGCATCGTCAGGTCCTCCCGGTTCTGCACAGTGGACGAGCTTCCATGATGCGTTGCGCCCAATACGCGTGTGTGGCTCACTACCGTTATTATAATAGATCCATGCTCACTACACATGCACATGCACAGAGGGGCTCGGACGCGCTCTGACCAATCAGAGCGGCTGATCAGAGCAGTGGTAGCGCGGAATCAGAGCGGGAAGGAAACAGCAGAGTTTGAGAAAAAGAAAACCGAAGGATTTAAGAAGAAGAAAAGTTCAGGATGACAAGGGACACCAAAATACCCACAAAATCCGATCTTCATGAAAGCTGTAGGTTCTCTGTCAGATGAGGTTGAGCTGTTTTAATTTACATTGAGATCTATGTGGGAAATAAGGGGCTGGTGCTATGTGTACTGGGTGCAGCTCTGACTGCTACCCCCCGACCCAGAAATGGATTAAGGGGAAGAAAATGGATGAGATCTATGGGAGAATTTCTGGGTAGCCCGCGTGAATTTAGTCTGCAGTACCACGGGCGCCCCCTGTGCCCATGGGTGGGACAGCTATACGCTAGTAATACCCTATCCAGTTATTATTATAGATCCATGCAGGGAAGTAAGTAAGTAAGTAGTAAGTAAGTTTTTATTTATATACCGCCTTTTCACTGCAGATCTGAGTCTCAAAGCGGTTTACAAATGTTAATTATGGGCATTTGTCTCTCACTCCACACAGAGATGGGAGCGGCGTCGCCAGTACAGGAGGCACATATTTTTAGTGGTAGGGGAAACCGGAGTACCCGGAGGAAACCTACGCAGACACGGGGAGAACAGGCAAACTCCACTCAGAAAGGCCCTGGTCCGACCGGGATTCAAACCCAGGACCTTCTTGCTGAGAGGCGAGAGTGCTATCCACTCAGCCACCGTGCCGCCCGGAACACATCTTCTTCCTCTTCTTCTTTTGGTTTCCGGCAGACTTGGCACCTCTTTGCGCATTGCTGCCTTTCCCGGTCATATTGTGCTCTGCATTCATTTCCATATACCAGATATGCAGCTCAGCTGCTCGTAAAAAAGTCCAAGACCGCTTTCACAACCAGATTCTGTTCTCTGTCTGGGCTCAGGGGAGACTTCAGATTACAGTCCATTGATAGCTTTGTCATAAACTCCTTAAGCACGGCTCGCTGACCAGAATATACTGGACAATCCATGAATACATAACTTACAGTGTGTACATAACACACTTTGGTGTTTCCCAACTATATATCTGTCCCACGCTAGCCCACAATGCCCTAATCTCAGCCCGGTAAGGATGACCTCAGACCTCCTATCCTTAACACATATTATTGGTTTCCACTTAACAGAGGAATTGATAGCATATAAATGATGCCCCCTACTGTCCCCATCCCATATTGCTTGCCAAGCAGCTGTAACATGCATTTTAATCTTAGCTTTCCACAAAAGCACCCCTGGGATCAAACTACACTCTAAAGGTATTTTCAAAGCCTGTTTTACCTCCGTCTCAAATTTCATTGCCCCAGACACCAACATGAGCCGGCACCCAAAGAAACCCCACAGACCCCCTCGATTGCTCAATCTCAGATATTTCAGTCAGCAACTCTATCAGTAGATCAGGCCTGGCATTGCCTTTATCAAAACCTATAGAGCTCAACACAGCCGCTGAGTCAGAACATACAACAATTTGACCTTGTTCAGTGGCCTTTTCCCACCGAAGAGCACATGTTATTGCTGTAATTTCTGCACTGTACATCTCATTTGGTAGTATCGTATTAACAGGCACCACATGCTTCACTTCACAATTTTTGTTCAGTTTGTGAATCTTAATTTATTAAAATCTTTTCAAGGTAAATACATATATTTAAGTGTGTGGGTAGATGTGTACATTTGTTTTGGTTTGGCATATTAGAATTTAAGGTTATGCAATTTATGCAATTATTTTTTGATTATTATTTCATGAAGGAGAGCCCCCTCGATTTGAACCATCAAAACACAACTGTAAAGACAAAGCACATAACTTATTAACTAATTAACCAAATAAATGTAAATGCTACAAAGCAGCAAGTAAATATCAATATACCTATAATATATGAGATATCACACTAATATATATTCATATATATATTATTATTATATAAATTAAGTGCTGGAAATTTCATGGAGAACCTTCAGAGTATGGTCAGATATTCTATAGTGAAGCTAAAACAAGGCCAGGCTTAAAAAACTCTTCTCAAATTTAGCACATGGGTAGGTTGTTTGTCTGGTTTTGGAGTCTGCTTGTACAGGACCCGGCCCGGCGAACCACTGTTGGTGATTTCCATGTTTTTGTTAAGTCCTCTGAGATGACTGCTGTTGTGATTTAGGGCTATACAATATATAAATTGTATTGAATAGTATTGTATTGTAAACCGTCTCAAAAAACAATGCCCAAGTCGCTGGAATGAAAATTGATTTCTAGCCACATATTGGAACTTAGCTGACGGCCTATCAGGGGGATGGCAATCAGAGATGCCACCCAAAGTTGATCCTCCTGAAGGTGGTGAGTCCACAGGAGTATGGCTGCTGTCAGTATGAGCATAGCATTGATCTTTCAGTGAGGGCATCAGGCAAAGAGGTTAAGAGTCTTGCCCAAGTACACAAAGACAGTAGACATTGGTCGCGTGGTGGGCTCGAGCCCATGACCTTCAGGCTCAAAGGCCAATGCTCTTTAAACTGAGCCACTGTTTCAAGAAGTAATTGGATAGTACTTAATTTTGCACTAATATACATGTATATATATATTATGCGGCAAGACCTTCCTCTATATATACAGTATGTTGTCATATACAATCTCATTAATTACTAATTAGTGGCAGGATTTTAACTAGAGAAGAATGTACATTAACCGAACAGAAAGTGTGTGTGTGTGTGTATTTCTATCATTCTAATTGGTTTTGTCACTGGAAGCTTGTGTTTTGCTTTTCAGATTCATCATCAAGGGGCTGAGTGGATAGCACTTTTGCTTCTAAGCAAGAAGGTCTTGGGTTTGAATCCTGTTCGGAACAGGGTCTTTCTGTAAAGTCTTCCAGTTCTGATAGTCCTAACCAAGCTGTGCATCAACATATGGAGATGGGTTCCCGGGCACTGTTACTACGGCAACCACTGCTCCTGACGTAAGCCTTAGCGGCGTCAGGATGGGTCAAATGCGGAGGATGAATTGCCCTATGGGGATCCTATAGTGCACCTATACCTATCACTTGTGTGTTATTTATGAGCCTGGAGTTACAATTCCCAGCTTTAAAGCTCATGTCCGTTTTGTGTTTTCCTCTTGTTCATATTCTGTGTTTGTGATGAAAGCCGGGGCCTCAGCTGCGGTCGCACTAAAAGCTGCTCTACCTCTTCATCTTCATCAATAAAAAAACACAAGTGGGTTCTGCAAACTTTTCAGACAGAGACGCACCACCTCCAATATTACAAAACCATTCCAAACCACTATTCTTTCTCTGGTCTCTCTCTTTGGTCTCTCACTGGTGTCTCTCTCTTTGGTCTCTCACTGGTGTCTCTCTCTTTGGTCTCTCACTGGTGTCTCTCTCTTTGGTCTCTCACTGGTGTCTCTCTCTTTGGTCTCTCACTGGTGTCTCTCTTTGGTCTCTCACTGGTGTCTCTCTCTTTGGTCTTTCACTGGTGTCTCTCTCTTTGGTCTCTCACTGGTGTCTCTCTTTGGTCTCTCACTGGTGTCTCTCTCTTTGGTCTTTCACTGGTGTCTCTCTTTGGTCTCTCACTGGTGTCTCTCTCTTTGGTCTTTCACTGGTGTCTCTCTCTTTGGTCTCTCACTGGTGTCTCTCTTTGGTCTCTCACTGGTGTCTCTCTTTGGTCTCTCACTGGTGTCTCTCTCTTTGGTCTCTCACTGGTGTCTCTCTCCTTGGTCTCTCACTGGTGTCTCTCTCTTTGGTCTCTCACTGGTGTCTCTCTTTGGTCTCTCACTGGTGTCTCTCTTTGGTCTCTCACTGGTGTCTCTCTCTTTGGTCTCTCACTGGTGTCTCTCTCCTTGGTCTCTCACTGGTGTCTCTCTTTGGTCTCTCACTGGTGTCTCTCTCTTTGGTCTTTCACTGGTGTCACTCTCTTTGGTCTCTCAATGGTGTCTTTCTCTCTGGTCTCTCACTGGTGTCTCTCTCTGGTCTCTCTCTTTGGTCTTTCACTGGTGTCTCTCTATGGTCTCTCACTGGTGTCTCTCTCTTTGGTCTCTCTTCAGACGAAATCAAAGATTGACAAACAAGAACCTGGTGAGACGTCACTGATCTGGTTTTAGTGTTTGAGCATCAGCTGTAACAGGATCAAAGCCCAGTGCATTAAAACTCTTCAGACAGATGCTCTTAGTCCCAGCACCTGAGACCGGGTTCGGTCTGGTCTCTCCTTGGTCTCTCCCTGGTCTCTCCCGGGTCTCTCCCTGGTCTCTCCCTGGTCTCTCCCGGGTCTCTCCCTGGTCTCCCCCTGGTCTCTCCCTGGTCTCTCCCGGGTCTCTCCCTGGTCTCTCCCTGGTCTCTGCCTGGTCTCTCCCGGGTCTCTCCCTGGTCTCTCCCTGGTCTCTCCCTGGTCTCTCCCTGGTCTCTCCCTGGTCTCTCCCTGGTCTCTCCCGGGTCTCTCCTGGTCTCTCCCTGGTCTCTCCCGGGTCTCTCCCTGGTCTCTCCCTGGTCTCTCCCGGGTCTCTACCTGGTCTCTCCCTGGTCTCTCCCTGGTCTCTCCCTGGTCTCTCCCTGGTCTCTCCCTGGTCTCTCCCGGGTCTCTCCCTGGTCTCTCCCTGGTCTCTGCCTGGTCTCTCCCGGGTCTCTCCCTGGTCTCTCCCTGGTCTCTCCCTGGTCTCTCCCTGGTCTCTCCCTGGTCTCTCCCTGGTCTCTCCCGGGTCTCTCCTGGTCTCTCCCTGGTCTCTCCCTGGTCTCTCCCGGGTATCTTCCTGGTCTCTCCCTGGTCTCTCCCTGGTCTCTCCCGGGTCTCTCCCTGGTCTCTCCCTGGTCTCTCCCGGGTCTCTCCTGGTCTCTCCCTGGTCTCTCCCGGGTCTCTCCCTGGTCTCTCCCTGGTCTCTCCCTGGTCTCTCCCGGGTCTCTTCCTGGTCTCTCCCTGGTCTCTCTCTCTTTGATGTGGTCTCTCACAGAGTCCATTAGTGACTCACAGGGCTCTTTCTTACACAAAAGACGAGGGTTAGCATGTTTTGGTTTGATTTGTTCATTTTACTTTAAGATTCTTTTTGTTCAAACTACGTGTTATTTATTAGACTAAAGTTACGTACCCCAGCTTTAAACATGATCTTGTATTATTACATTTTTTCTACAGTTTTGGTTCTTTGCAGCTGCATCACAGGAATCCCATGTTTGGTCTTCGTTGCTGGGACTCATTCGTCTTCCTGACAAAGAGATACACACACACACACACTCAAGACACAGACACACACACAAACGTACTGTTCAGGCAAGGCAGCTCAGGAATATACAGGAACCACAGGGTTTACCATCGAAGAGAGACAAGAGAGAGACCAGAGAGAGACCAGATGTGTATGTGTGGGTGTGTGTAAACTTACAAACACTACTGTTTGTTTTTTATTGTTGTATGTCTTTGATTTTCTAATCTGCTGCTTGTTGCTTCAATGTGGCTTTGATCCTGCTCTGTGATGACAATGATGAGTTTATCAGCTCCAGATCAGGTTCAGTGCTGGTTCAGACCTGGTCCAGACGTGGTTCAGACTTGGGCACGCCCCTGGACTTGGATCCGGGCTGAACCTAAACATGAGGGTCTCTTCTCCAAATACATGACTTCAAAAGAGTAGGATCTCAGGATGATCACTTTATCAGAGTTTAGTTTGCAAACAGAGCATGGAGACAGAAGGGGCGGGGGGGATTAACAGTAGGTCCTGATGTCAGCGTGGATGAAGACAAACACAACTGCAGGTCTGTGGCGATGAGGATCAGTGTTGACCCTCAGACAACTCTGGTCCAACCACACAAACCTATGGAGCCGGCCCCTCCCTCAGGAAAACGAAGCCCCCTGGTGGCACTGCCAAGCAGCTCATCCTGCAGTGATGTCACACGCAGCATGCGACCACAATGGATTTGTGAGGCAGAAAATAGCGGCTGTTTCAGACCGAGCTCTAAAGGCGTGATTGAACCGACAACTGCTCACACTGAACATGAAGAGGGTCGAGGGTGGTGTGAGTGGAGCACCACAGGGGAGTGTGTTAGACCCACTGTTGTTATGATGTAAGTGACTGACCTTGGTCAGACATGGTCCAGACCAGGTTCAGGTTCAGACTTGATTCAGACCTTGTCCAGGTTCAGACCAGGTCTAGACCTGGTCCAGGTCCAGACTGTGTAACTTGAGTCAGACTTATCTGATCCTGCTTTGATGTAATCTCACTTCCTGCTCGTCTTCTTCTGCAGCTGATGAAGCTTTTCTTCTGAGCGAATCTAAACATCCTGAAGGAAGGATGAAGAAGAAGAGGGGGTATACTCCAGAGCCCTGTGAGTCACAATCTGACTTTTTGGGCTGAGAGCTGATTGGCTGAGGAAGGGTGGTCCTCTCTGTTCTACTTTTCTGTCTGAAAACACTGATCTAAATATGTGACAGAGGAAACATGTGAAAACTAGTGATTGGGTTAGGATCTGGACTGGATCTGGACCAGGTCTGGACCGGGCCTGGACTGGGTCTCTTTGGTCTCTAGTGTTTTTGTTGCTCTTCACTGGAGCAGAATCCTTCACCTTCTGACTCTGTGTTTTTGTCCTGGTCGCTGAAGCGCTGAGAGTTTACAAAGTCGCTCACCGTTCAGGCATCTAGACCAGATCTAAAGCAGGTCTGAAGCAGGTCTAAAGTAGGTCTAAAGTAGGTCTGAAGCAAGTCTGAAGCAGGTCTAAAGTAGGTCTGAAGTAGGTCTGAAGCAGGACTAGGGCAGGTGTAGAACTGGTCTTTGTAAATTCAGTTATTAGCCCTAGCAACGGCTCCCGTTAGGATCTTTGATTGCTACGCTGTTGCTAACCCACAAATTTGTCTCCAGATTCCTGTTATTGTGTGTGTGTGTGTACGTGAGAGTTTGTGTGTGTTAGAGTGTGTGTGGGTGTGTGTGTTTTTGTGTGTTAGAGTGCGTGTGTCAGAGTCGCACTGCTTCATCTGAGGATTCTCCATCTGATACTAAACCAGTTCTACAGCTTTGAGAGTTCTCACCAAAGATCAACTACAAACTACAGTTTGTTACTTTAAAGCTGGTCTCACTTTTTCTTTCTCTAGTCTTTCTCTCTAGTCTCTCTCTCTGGTCTTTCTCTCTGGTCTCTCTCTCTGGTCTTTCTCTCTGGTCCCTCTCCCTGGTTTTTCTCTCTGGTCCCTCTCTCTGGTCTTTCTCTCTGGTCTCTCTCTCTGGTCTTTCTCTCTGATCTCTCTCTCTGGTTTTTCTCTCTGGTTTCTTTCTCTGCTCTATGTCTGGTTTCTCTGTTTTTTCTCTAGTCTTTCTCTCTAGTCTCTCTCTCTGGTGTTTCTCTCTGGTCCCTCTCTCTGGTCTTTCTCTCTGGTCCCTCTCTCTGGTCTTTCTCTCTGGTCTCTCTCTCTGGTGTTTCTCTCTGGTCCCTCTCTCTGGTCTTTCTCTCTGGTTTCTCCCTCTTTGGTTTATTTATCTGGTCTCTCAGTGGGCTCTCTCTGGTCTTTCTCTCTGGTCCCTCTCAGTGATGTGAGATTAGAAAACGTTTATTTGACAGCCAGGTCTGAACCAGGTCTTGACACCTGGTCTTTTCTCTGTATGTTTTTTACAGCAGTTTTGTTGTGATGTATACAACTGATGTTTGTTAGTGACACACACTCCCCCCCCCTCACATGTATCTCTTTCTCTTGTGTCTTGCACGCTCCTCCCTTTTGTTGACGCTCTACTGTTTGTTTGTGATTGACACAAACGCATCAGTGATGTCATTGTGCTATAAGTCCCGCCCCTTGCTTGTGATTGACACACGCATCAATGATGTCATTGTGCCTTAAGTCCCGCCCCCCGCTCCTGCCTCTGGATCTGTCACTCACCTGTGCGCACTCACCTGCGTCGCATCGGCTGCTCCGGGACCTAACCAGGACCGAAGCAGGTCAAAAACAGGTCTAAAACAGGAATAAAAAAGGTCTAAAGCAGGTCTAAAGCAGGTCTAAAGCAGGACTAAAGCAGGAGTCAAGCAGTTCTAAAGCAGGACCAGTCCTGGACATTTCATCTTTTTTTTTGACTTTGGAGAAATTCAAACCTTTTTTTAAAAAGATTCTACAGCTGATATTCTTATTTGACCCAGTGTTCAGCTACAGAGGATCCGGAGGAACGAGAGCTTAAACCTTGTCTGGACCCGGACTCAGAGGTAGACCTGGTCTTGGACTGGTGCAAAGAAACCCACCTGTGATGATTCCAATCAGCTCTTTGTGGCTCTGCTAAGACCAGGACTGAAGGACTGTGATTCCCAGTCACTGGTCCCTGACTTGCCCTGGTCTCTTGGACCTGATCTTGACTGGTCTTGGACTTGCGCTGGTCTCTCTGGTCAAGACCTGGTTTTGTGTGATGTCGGAGGAGGAGTGCATTTGCTCTGTGGGAATGAAGCTGAGCTGGGACATCAACGATCCCAAACTCCCACAGGTACAAGTACAAGTACAACATAAGTCCTGCAAATACTACTCTCTGAGAGAGGTGCCTGTCCCTGGACCAGACTCCCTGTCTTTCTCTCTCTCTCGCTGGTCTTTCTCTCTGGTGTCTCTCCTTGATGTCTCTCTCTGGTCTATCTCTGGTCTATTAGGCCATAAGTTATCTATCCACCATACTATCTCTGGTCTCTCTACAACTCTCAGAGCAGTCGATTTGAACAGTTTTGTTTTGGAAGCTAAATGGCTGAAGTACATGTGTGATCTTCATAACGTTGTGACTTTTTCTATATGTAGTTTATTCCTATGTCATTACGGTTATGACATTATTTTTGATCTATGAAATATCAATACTTATATATTTACCTATACATTAGCACTCCCGCTTCTCAGCAAGAAGGTTCGAATTCCAGTTGCAACAGGGCATTGCTGAGTGGAGTTTGCATCTTCTCCCCGTATCTGCGTAGGTTTCCTCCAGGTCCAACTCGAGTCCTGACCAAGCCGAGCATCAACATCTGGAGATGTTGGGCGCAGTAATATGGCGACCACTGCTCCTGACAGACGCCCTAGTGACATCGGGATGGGTCAAATGTAGAGGACAAAGTTCCCTACGGGGATATATAGATAGATACTTTATTGATCCCTGTAGGAGAAATTCAGGTGTCCAGTAGCAGCAAAAATACAAAATAAAATGGATCATTCTAAAAAGCTAACAGTAGTAATAATCAGCAACAGCTCTTCAGGTCACAGCAGCAGAGGCGGAGCAGGCTCTGGGTGGAGCAGGACAGGTCACAGCAGCAGATGTGACCCAGCAGGATCAGACAAGATAAATGACATTTGCACATACAAAAAAAACTTTCCACCTTTAACTTCCAGAGCACTCACTGTGACTTTGCCCTTAGAATTTTTTTTTTATCTTTCCACTCAATATTCAAGTTTCAAAACTATTTTTAATTTGTTTCCCCCAATACGTATTATAAAAGTCTTGTACAGACTGTGCTGATATGGCAAGTATAAATCATGTGCTGCTGGAACTCTCACAAGATCATTTGATATCACGATTTTCACATTTTTCCCAAATTCGATTTCTTCAAAAGCCGATGAATTGCCTATATTCGATTTATTGCCCAGCCCTAAATTAGAGTAATAAAAATTATATTTCAGTTAAAGCCCTCTCAAGGCATCTGATTGGTCAGCCCTTATAAGGCTCATATCTGGATTTACAAAGACAACATCACTATTGTTGTAGTAGTAGTTTACTTTTACATGTAAGTCAATAGGGGCCAGAGAGAATTGGAGCCAAACTTCACCATGAGCACTTCCCCATTGGGCTTCATTGAGCTACCAGGTTAGCATCTACGAGTCGAGTTCCATATCACCTGTCATAACATGTGTGTGAGTGACTTAATGGTTTATAGGAGTATTATCTACTTCCTGGTGGATCATCAAGACTATTGGTCGTCCCAATTGTCAATAATTCTGGTCAAATAAGACCAGAGTTTTGTTCAAAAAGTGGAGAGGGCCGTTCTTTCCTCAAATTTGGGGAAATCCTCCTATATACCTTCAAGTACTTAAGTAACTCACATGGAGTATTTAAGTTAATTATAATTGATAGATTATTTTCTCCACACAGAAAGTCTTAAAGTGTTCTGAACAAATCAGACACAACATGCTGTCTTCATCTTTTGTGTAAGAAAGAGCCCTGTGCCCTCTTTGGGCTGAAAGCTGATTGGCTGATGAGGATGGGCCTTTCTTTTTCACTTTTCTGAAAAAGCTGATCTAAAGATGAGGCTAAAAGTACACGATGTGAAAACTATTGATAGAAGCGACTGTTTTAGAGCCAGGAACTGGAAACATGGGTTTATAATAGTTCTATTGGTCTGAATGTCACATATCCCAGCTTTAAAGTCACGTACCCCAGCTTTAAAGTCACATGCCCCCACTTTTAAGTAATATACCCCAGCTTTAAAGTCATAAAACGTTATGATCAGTTTTAAACTAAACTCAACACTTATCACAGAAACTCATCATAAAAACATTTTATCAGTGAATCTGAGTCTCAGGTCTGGACCTGAAGAGACGTCACAGAGTTCAGCACTTCTCCGAGATAATCCATCCTGTGAGTTCTGTGATGCAGTAGTAATAGAGTACATTGGTGAAAGACTTCAGAAGCTTAGCAGGGGAGGGCCTGGTTAGTGCTGTGATGGGAGACCTCAGTTGCTATAGGGGGCAGGTATAAAGTGTTCTTAGGCAAGACACTTCCCCCGCCTTAGTGTGAGTCTGGTGTGTGATAGTGAAGGTGGGGTGGACCGATGGCACAGACTGGTTGCCTCTGTCTGTCTGCCCCAGGCTGGCTGTGGCTACAGTAGTTTATCACCCCTGTGTACAGAATGAATGAGTGTCAAAAGAGGCTGTATATGAATCAATGTAGTACATTATTATTACTGCCATGATGATCAGGGTGTCGTCGGGGTATGTGCCCTCCGAGTGTGGGCGGGGTATGTCTGCTCCAAGTGTGGGTTCTGGTGTTTTCCAGAAGCGCTGACTCGTGTCGACTCAGCTTCTGTTTGTTTTCAGTAAAACTCAGAACTGGTTTTTGATGTTTCTCCAAACACACAGATCATATACTCTGAGAAGGAGGAGGGTTGGAGCGAGTTTGAAAGCAGAGCGTTCAGACAGAAGGGTGCGGGGGCTAAATCAAGTACTCTCTCTGGCTCCTAATGACTTCCATGTAGAAGTAAACTCTTCACTCAATAACTGTTTAGTGTTTATATTGTAGGAGTTTCCTTTGAAATCCAGATACAAAGCATGTAAGAATTGACCAATCAGAGGCCTCAGGGAGTCAACGTCATCTAGTCAACTCCAGCTCCACCAGTACATTCATACTTCAATCTATAACATTTTATTTATAAAGCGCGCTTTTCACACAGAAAAGGCAGCACACGTGCGTACACACACAAATACACAGACACATATAAGCACATCAGATAGGTAAAATAGGTAAAACCATGAAAAGATATAGGCCTGGGTGGAGATGCATCCAGCATATGACTTGGACTCAGGTCTGGTCTTGCATCATGATTTTCTCTGCAGGAGCTGAAACAGTTCGACTCGTTCCAGGAGTGGACCGATGGATACGTGAGGTTTATATATAACGGTAAGACCCCCACACACACAAACACACACACAGAGACACACCCACCCACACAGATGCACACACACACACAGAGAGAGACACAAACACAGACAAAAGATGAAGACAGCATGTTGTGTCTGATTTGTTCATTATTTCTGTTCAAATTTACCAGTTATTTATGAGACCATGTGTGTGTGTGCGTGTGTGTATGTGCGTGTGTCTCTCTTTCTCTGTTTCTTGTCGCTCTCTCTCTCTCTTTGTGCTTCAGCAGAGGATAAGAACGCACAGCGCCACCTGTCTGGCTGGGCGATGCGTAACACTAATAACCACAACTGTCAGATCCTGAAGAAGTCGTGTCTGGGAGTGGTGTTGTGTTCGCGCTCGTGTGGAGGACTGAGGCTGAGACCGGCCATCTGCGACAAGGCCAGAGGCAAACAGCAGAGTGAGTACTGCTGCTGCTGCTGCTGCCACTACTACTACTTCTATTAATGATGTCCCAATCCCTGATTGGCTGTTTCCTCAGAGAGGTCGTGCCCCCTCTGCTCCTCCCCCCTGGAGCTGGTCCCATGTCGGGGTCACAGTGGGTACCCTGTCACTAACTTCTGGAGGGTCGACGGCCGGAACATCTTCTTCCAGGTCAGCCCCGTTAGCCTGGCCCTTCAGCCAAAACATTCTCTGTTCAAACTATCACATTGGTCTGTTTCTCAGGCCAAAGGAGTCCACGACCATCCCAGACCTGAGTCCAAGTCCGAAACCGAGGCCCGACGCAGCTCCGTGAAGAGGAGGGTGAACTGTGGCCCATACTCCAAAAGGAGGGACACACAGGTAAAAAGTACTGAGAGTACTGTGAGTACTAAGAGTACTGAGAGTACTGAGAGTACACAAAGAGGACTACACTTTCAATAAATGGGTATTTTGATGATGTAGGTACTGTATTTCATAGTATCCGAAAACACGTGAACAGAAACAATCCAGAAACAAACCATATTTGCACTTCCTGATGCAGTCTTGTGACCTGTCCCTTTTGTGTGATTGGGTGCAGCTGTCTGGCCCCGCTCTCTTGCCCTGTGCTGATTCGCTGGAGTACCCGCAGACGTTCCCGCCCTTCGTCGAGCCGTACTACGCTTCCCACAATGCCCTGGGTGAAGCCCCGCCCCCCCTGCACAAATCGCCAAATCCCAGGCTCTACGTCGGTCGCCACGGATACGAACTACAGAGTTACATCACCCCAACAACCTACAACCCTGCCCATGGCAACCCGGACCTGTGCGAGCCCAGGTATGCCCCGCCCACAGCTTCTATTTGTTTGCGAGGTTTAAAGGGGTCCCCCAAGGGTCTGTTATTGGAACACTGTTTTTTACATATTAGCAGTAGTAGTAATAGTAGCAGTAGTAGCAGTTATAGCAGCAGTAATAGAAGTCACAGACTACTGCCTCTGGTGGTAGGGGGCGTATTGTAATAGAAACTGAAGTGAGCAGTGTGTGTGGCCTGCGCTTGTTTACGTGTTTGTTTGTTTACAGAATGCCTCCTGTCCTCCCCTCCTCCTCCTCCTCTTCCTCGGCTCCTCTCTCCTCCTCTATGACCTACGACCCACAGTCCAAAGCCCCGCCCACTTCCTGGAACCACTGTTACCATAGTGACTACCCCTGTCGTTTCCCCAGCAATGGCCCGGGCTCCCCCACCGCTCTGCAGACCATAATAACCACCACGACTAAAGTAATTATGAAAGTACTACGACTACACAAAAACTACGGCTAAAAGTACTACAACTATACAAGTACTATGACCATTCAAGAATTACGACTATAGAAGTGCTACTGCTATAAAGCACTCCAGCAGATATCAATACTACAGACCCCAAAATGAGAGCAGCATAACTGCTGGAGGTCTGTATAGCAGTAGTAATTAAAGTAGTAGTACAGCAGCAGTACTTAAAGAAGTAGTACTTAAAGCAGTAGTACTTGCAGCAGCCGTATTTAAAGCAGCAGTACTTAAAGCAGTAGTACTTACAGCAGCTACAGTATTGACACAGTTTCGCTCTCCTGCAGGTGTCGTACCAGCCGTGCCCAAAGCCCGGCCTGTCATCCTTCACTTCCTGTGTCCCGCCCCCAAAGCCTGGCCTTAGCTCCCTGTTGGACGAGACTGGTGCTGGCCCTGCTTACTCCACCGATGTCAAACTGGGAGACGAATCGGGCATTATCAAACCGTATACCTGCGACACTCTTCCCGCCAAAACTGAGAGGGATACCTACGACTATCGCTACGGTTACGGCTATCGCTACGACGACTACTGAGGCCTGTAACCACAGTAACCACATCCATGTCCTAATTTTTCTGGACTAATAAATAAAGCTGGGATACGTAACTTCAGTTTAAATAATAATGTTATGTACCCAAGCTTTAAAGTTACGCACCCAAGCTTTAAAGTCACATACCCCAGCTATAATTTTGGTTAAAGACTAAATGTGCGACTGTCGGATAAATAAATACATGTTCTGTGGATGTGACTGTTGTCTTGATTGTTGCCCCCTGTGTTTCACTCAGACTGTATATAGATGGACAATGCTAACCCGCCTGCTCAACATTAACCCGTTAGCTCAACAAATCCCAATAAGGAAGTGCTACAGTTCCTATAAACCTACATGTAAAAGTCCTTAGTAACTTTTTGTATCACGCTCACCATTTTGGGTTTAAATTTGTTGTTCAGCGCTCTCTGTGATCCTGGTGTTTATAATGTGATATTGTCTTTGAAAATCCAGATACGAGACATATAAGGATGGACCAATCAGATGTCTTCAGTTGCAGGGGAAACTCTACGGTCGTTCCACACTATAGTACAAATTACATTTCTTACTAAGGTCTGGAGGTGCTCCATTGAGCAACGTTAACAGGTGGGATATGAGTTTATTGTGAAGTATGGAATGCGCCCGAGTGAGTCGTTAGCATTTAGCCTAGCCATCCCCTTCGCCGCAAAAGGAGCCTGTGGGGAGTAGCGCCACCATCTTTGCCAGCAATTACCAGAACTACTTTACTATCGCATTTTTCACCATTGCCAAACTACAACCTGCCCGTTGTTGTGTACGGATGGCTAAGGCCAGGCTAGGAAAACTCCAGCTTGGTTTAGCAACCATCTTAGCAACACGTCTGCCTCTTACAGTCTATGGTTTCGGTGGGAAGCTAACTGCTAACACTAAGGGAAAATAAGAAAACTAACTTATGTTCAAATCGGCTTCTTCTGCATTGAGACTAACACTATGGTGATGTCACACCATAGATTGATTATTATACATGGGCGAGTTCCGCTAATCTTTCGGTACCCATGGATGTCCCATGCGCTACTGAGCACAATCCATGAGCACAAGCGAGCACAAGCCATATGAATTGAATAGGGCGCCATCTTGGATGACCGGGGCTTGTAATATTATAATAAATCCGTCAGTCCACTCTTAACATACAGTCTATGGTTTCACTGTGTTTATTTGTATTTTTTTTTAATGTTTTGATCAAAACTGCATCATTTCAAAAGTGTCCAAAGCAATGAGTATTTATTCAAATTATATAAAAAGAATAAAGGCTTAGGCCAACTGTAGACACTCCTCTGCTTTTGTTTTAGGGCTGTTGACGTTAGCCTAGAATCATTAACAAGGCTGAAGGAAGCAGCCGTATGTAATCTTGTCTTATCAACACTTATTTCTTTTCAGTGCAGCACAAAAGTTTTGTTTGAATGAACTGCAATGTAAATTATGTGATAAAGTGTTGAATAAATCTTAAAAGAGACTCTCTGCCACCATTGTTGGTGATTTCAATGGTTTTGTAAGTCCTCTGAGATGACTACTGTTGTGATTTAAGGCTTTACAAGAATACATTTTAATGTATTTTATAATTAAAGGGGACATCATGTTCATCTGTCACAAACACACACAGAGTTTAAAAACAGCCATTTATTCACTTATTATTCACAATACTTCAGAATCTTATGTACAAACACATCTCATCAAAAGAACTGTTTCCACAATCAGAATCCTCATGTATGGGAACCATATGGACACAACCACTGCACATGAGAACCATATGGACACAACCATTGAGCAATATTCACTTTGCACTGTTGATTTAGAAGAGTGAAAATGAATGTGTTTAAAACCACATGAGTCTGGTCAACATGAGTCTGGTCCCTTCTGGTCCACATGAGTCTGGTAGAACATGGACTTCTTTTTGAATATTATTTTATAATATAAACATTTTAAAATTGGGTCAAAGTTTGAAAGTTTTAAAACTGTCAATAAAAGTTAAAACATTGAGATGCTCTTCCAGCTGGGACTCCAGTCTCAGTCCTGGTCCCGCCTTCTGGTCCCTCCTTCCTGTCCCTTCCTTCCGGGCTCTCTCTCTGGTCCCTCTCTCTCTCTCTGGTCTCGGTCCCGGTCTCGGTCCCGGTCCCGGTCCCGGTCTCGGTCTCGGTCCCGGTCCCGGTCCCGGTCTCGGTCCCGGTCCCGGTCTCGGTCCCGGTCCCGGTCTCGGTCCCGGTCTCGGTCCCGGTCTCAGTCCCGGTCCCAGTCCTGGTCCCTCCTTCCTGTCCCTTCCTTCCGGGCTCTCTCTCTGGTCTCTCTCTCTCTCTCTCTGGTGTCTCTCTCTCTCTCTCTCTCTCTGGTCGCTCTCTCTCTCTCTCTCTGGTCGCTCTCTCTCTCTCTCTCTCTCTCTCTTTCTCGCTCTCTCTCTCTCTTTCTGGTCCCTCTCTCTCTCTCTGGTCTCAGTCCCGGTCTCAGTCCCGGTCTCAGTCCCGGTCTCAGTCCCGGTCTCAGTCCCGGTCTCTCAGGTGCAGGAGATGCTCTGTAGATGTTCCTCTAGCTGAGACTCCTCTGCTGCTAAAGCTGCTGCATGTAAAGCGTCGTCCGTGTGCAGCTTCCGGTCACTGTGCATGTTGGTCTCATGTCGCTTCAGGTCAGAGGCCTGATGAAGACAACAACCACAACAAACATGAGTCTTGTTTCACCAGGTTTCCTCTTCCTTACAAACATACCAAACACAGCTATATCACCGCAGTTAAAACATTGAGGAGAGAGAGCTGGTCTCTGGCCGGTCTCTCTCTAGTCTCTCTCTAGTCTCTCTCTAGTCTCTCTCTAGTCTCTCTCTAGCGACAGTGGCTCAGTTGGTAGAGCATTGGCCTTTGAGCCTGAAGGTCGTGGGTTCCAGCCCATCACAAGTCTTTCTCCATCGATTCCCACTGTCTGCTGTCGTTGTGTCCTTGGCAAAACACTTAACCTCTGGGAACACCAGGTGCCACAGTGGGGCGCTGCGGCTGTAAAGTGCCAAACTGCCGTTGTGTCCTTAGGCAAGACACTTCACCCCCTTGGCCTAGAATGAGTGTGGTGTGTGTGTGAATGGTTGGTGGTGATCGGAGGGGCAGATGGCACATACTGGTTGCCTCGCTTCTGTCAGTGTGCCCCAGGGCAGTTGTGGCTACAGTAGTAGTTTATCACCACCGTGTATGGAGTGAAAGAATGACATGTAAAGCGTCTTTGAGTGTCAAAAAAGCGCTATATAAAACCGATGCATTATTTTTATTATTAGTCTCTCTCTAGTGTCTGCAGATGGCAGTACCTTAGCGAAGGCCTTGGAGCAGCAGTGACACACGAACGGTTTCTCTCCTCTGTGACGACGCTCATGATCCTTCAGATGAGACTTGTGTTTGAAGGCCTGAAAGATAAAGATCAGGTCTGATCAATGTCTAAAGCAGGCAGGAACTAAAGCCAGACTAAAGTAGGACTAAACCAGGTCTAAAGCAGATCTAAAGCAGGTCTAAAGCAGGTCTAAAGCAGATCTAAAGCAGGTCTAAAAAAGGTCTAAAAAAAGGTCTAGGGAGCTGGAAAATGTGAAAAAACGCATTTGCGCATGCGTCAGCCGGTACGAGCCCCATTCATTTAACGAGTGCCTTAAAAATTTCACGACTAAACTAGACTGGTCCAAAAAAATTCACAAGAGCCCACTTTTGGATCATCCTGTAAAGCCGTTTTTGAGAGGTAAGAACACATTAGCATTGTATAATTCTCATCCCGAGTCCACCGCCATGGGCCCAATATAGTATAGCAAGTAAGTCAGCGCATGTCATTTTGGACATTTTTGAGGCGGGACCCGCCCCCACTGGTCTAAACCCAGTCTCACTCCGGTCTCACCTTGTCACACATCTGGCAGCCGAACGGTCTCTCATTGCTGTGAACTCGCTCGTGTTTCTTCAGATCTGGAGCTCGAATGAATGACTTTCCACAGACGTCACATCTATATGGTTTGAACCCCGTGTGGATCTTCAGGTGCTCTGCAGACACAGCAGGTCAAAACCAGGTCTGGACCGGGTCTAAAGTGGCCTGGCCCAAACACTGGGTTAAGAGCCGGACTGAGACTGCCCTCTGCTGGCTCTGATCCAGACTTCACACACTGCATGTGTCACTCACATCACCATCATCCGAATGCCATCCTATTTCAGAACAGGTACTCCCATAGTGCCAGCCATTTCTGATGATTTTTACTGATTTTTCAAGACCCACAGAATATTGTGTACTATGACTATCTGAAATCCGACACCAGATTCTAAAAGAATGGACTGTCTACTTTCCTCAGCAAAAAGAATTTTGTTTATAGCTTTTTTCGTTCCCCTGTAATCCTCCGTTGAGTAGAGGGAAGTTTTACTGAAATCACCAGAAATCACCAGAAAGTTGAGAAAAAAGAGGCACAACATGTGCACCTACATGTTTTCAAACCATTCAGAGAGCAATGCTGCCACCTGCTGGCTCGATAAAATATGGTCTCAAGTCATCCCCATACATATTAGATACAATAGACATCTGGGAACGTGAAAATAGCGAAAAAGGCAATTGACGTATTAATGCGTCAATGGGACACAATGAGTTAAAACAGCATGCGTGTCTGTGCATGTGTGTGTGTGTGTGTGTGTGAGTGTGTACCTTTCAAGTGTGCGTGTGTGGTGAAGGCCTTGGTGCAGACCTCACAGCCGAACGGACGCTCTGCAGAGTGAAGCTTCTCATGTTTCCTGAAACACAAACACATCACTCAGACCTGCAGCTGTGGCAGACCCCGCCCTTGTGACTCAAACTCCGCCCCTCCTGACTCAAACCCTGTCCCTCCTGTCTCAATGCTTTGTTTGCCTCATTTACACCACACCATGTTAGATTTACCATTACAGATCAACACACTACATACAGTATACAAGACATGTTTAAAGCTAGGGAAACATAATTTTAGTCTCATAGATAACACATGTTTGAAGCCGGAGTATGTAATTTTAGCCTCATAAATAACACAAACGTATTCCAGTGTTGTGGTCTGATAGTCGCGGTTACCTGAGTTTGCTCTCCTCAAGGAACGCCTTTCCACAGACATGGCAGCTGAGAGCATCTCTGGCTCCGTACAGCAGGTACTCTAGCTTCATGTCGCTGCTCCAGTTCTGTTGCTCGTCTTTCACCCCTCCGAGATCCCCCCCCACGAATGCCACGCTTGACTCTGCCTCCAGGTCCTTACCCCCGCCCCCCATCTCCACGTCGCCATCGTAACACGTCACCTGCAGGAAGTGAGAGGAGTTACAGAGACCATGTACACAGCAGGGGGGCCAGAGTGGACACTCTCATTGCATAATTTGGTCATTGAGCATGTATTTGGAGTGATATATACTGAAAGTAGTACTTTCAACACAAGTTAGCAGAAGCCAACATCCTTATATGGGCTTTTATTCGGTGTTTGATTTGACCCGTAACCATAGACTATATATAGATGGACGGTTCTAACTACTGATATGTGCTCTATGGCGGTAATGGCGTGTTCACTCCCCCGTCTGCGTCGGGTTTGTGGCCGCGTGTTTGCATTCAAAGGGAATGGTGTCGCATGTCAAGTGGCGCCAATAGGCCGGGCCTCATTTGCCATGCGTCAAAAGCTTCGCTTTTGGAGGTTTAGAGCGTTTGACCCTCTCCAAATTCAGCTTCAAAATCCGTTGACGCCAAAGTTGAGAAATGCTGAACTTTTCGAACTTGACGTAGGGCACCAACCAATCAAAAGGCAGGGTAGCTCGGGTGACGCAATGGCGCATTTCACGTGCAGGATGAATCTGGGACAGGAAGTAAATCTCTCCATTAAGAACAATGTAATAATTCACTGATTCAGAGTCATAATACTCTTTCTCTGGCCTGTACAGTTGTGGCAACTGGTCTCACAAAACTTATGGAGTCTCTATTTTGCTAAAGTGTATTTCTCTAATGGGTGTTGATTTTTTGAAAAATGCCAAACAAAGAATGGAAGAAAGGCCTTAGCTCCTCCCAACCCGGGTCACGGAAAAGTGACACCAAAATATATACATACATTTAGCCTGATAGAATGTTATCATGTTTCTGTTAGCATGTTAATTTGTACCTTGTGCACGTCTTCGTTGGCGAGCTCCTTCAGAATCGCCTCCTGGACTCTTAAAGCCGCAGTGGGCGACTTATCCAGCTCCTGATTGGACGACGACTCAGCCAGGTCGTCTGAGGGAGAGTCATCGTGGTCCCCCAGAACCTGTCAATTAAGCAGCAGCAGTCAAATGTTATGAAACATTTTAAACTCGTTAAAAATTGGTTTCTGCAAAAGACAGTGTGTTAGTCTCTTAGCCCGTAAGCATGTTAGCACCTCATCATCCGGCGGCAGCTGAGCTTCTGGAGGCAGCGCTAACTTCACAATGTCGAAGGGAAACTTGTCTTTGTCCTCTGAGACGTCCCGTTTCTGCTGGAAGTAGAGCCGTTGTTTGCGGAAAATGTCAGAGTTACATTACAGCAGTGTTTCTCAACCAGGGATACATAAGGGTATTACAGAAGGCACTTCAAATCTTATCAAAATTACAAATATTTAGCCTGGCCTTAGCCATCCGTACACTCCGCTCAATCATCATTTCACTGCATGTAACGTCTGGGTCTGCTCCCCGTCTTAGCGATTACAATCGGCTGAATTTCGACCAGCTAATCAGAGAGCGCGTTGTAGGTCGGTGCCGGTGACGTCAAGAGTTTGCGCCAAACTGGCAGGTTGTGGTTTGGCAGTGGCGAAGAATGCGATAGTAAAGTAATCCGGTCTGGTTCTATCATGAAATTGAAGCAGGAGCAAGAGGAATGTTTAGCAAATGTAATCGCTGGTAAAGATTGTGGCGCTACTTCCCACGGGCTCCGTTAGCAGCAAAGGAGATGGCTAGGCTAAATGCTAAATGCTAACAACAGACTCGGGCGCACTACATACGTCACGGAAAACTCAGATCCAATCGTTTCAATCTGCAAAAGGAGTTAACCCCTCCCACCTGTTCACGGACCTCAATGGAGCAAATCCAGACCTTAGTACGAAATGTAATTTGTACCAAGGTGTGGTACAACCAGGCTAGTAAATATTGATAGTGAGAGGTTAATATGGAACTTGAAGTTAGTTTCAAGTTGGATATTCGACAGACATTCAACAGACATTTCCTCTTGGTAAACCTCTTCTTCGCTCTGGGTATAGTGTGACTCAAAATGCCTATGACCCTTATAGAGGGATCCTACGGTCACGTGACTAGCAGCCACGGCAGCCATACTGGAGGACAACCTCGGCGAGTAACAGCCCTGCTAGCTATCTATAACTGGACGTTCAAAACTAGAACTCTCTCGAACTACATGAAAACTGAACAGAGAATTTGAAACTTCTGCAGTTAGTGACCCAAATATATACTCAACCTAAATTCATGAATCAGATCCTCTGAAAATGCATCCTAAAATGTATTCGTTACATCCAGGTTTACCGCGGTCGCATATTGTCGCATTAAAACAGTGTTTTTTCATGAAAACGTGAACAGAAAATTCTGAAAACCTCTGTGCACGTGTATTAAGAATGTATATGTATAATGTATTCTCCGATTAACATTTAATGTGTTTATTGTTACACCATTGATCTATGTGTGGCTACACTGCAGTGGAAATAATGAGATTACATTCAAATCAATGGAGCTTTCTGCGTCTACTGTGAGGAGCCGTATATTTTATTAATAAATACTAGTACGGGGCACCCTCGAGCACGGCTCAGTCGTTCACATGTCTGCTGGCCTTCGGTAAGTCAGATACCCTGTGAACCGGGTGAGGTCCTGTGTGAGACCAAATATATAAAAGCTATGCTACAAGCTAAGCTACAGTCTACGGAGCAACCCCACGTTGCAGTCAGACAGATATGTTTTATCCTTAAACTTCTGTTTGTTTCGGAATAACACTAAATCCGCCATCAAATTGATTTCACTTAGCAGAAATGAAATGATCCATATTCGGGCGCTCTGGGGGCTATTAGTTTTTTGTTGTTGCGTATGGTTGTGCCATTTCTCTCTCGTTTCTTTGAGATGTCTTCTGTTTTTGAGCCGTGTGAAGTAAGGACGGCTGGCAGTCGGTAACACAACTTAATTTCCCTGTCTCTCCTTTTGCTGCAGCCAAAAACGGCAAAAATGTTGAACATGTTTATGCGGTCCCGGGTGCACGCCACTATCATACAGCGTTTGCTTGTCCTCCAGTATGGCGGATGCCCCGCGAGTTCGAGGCATCGTGAGGTCACGTGAGATATCTCTATTGTCAAAAAATGACGGACGTGTTCGAATTTGATACAGAAATAAGACCAAGCATTCAAGAGTTAAAAATAGAACGATATAACATTTTCTTTACAATTAAATATTAATACAAAACTCTCGGAGCTATTAATTCCCTATAACTAACCCTTTGCTGAGCCATTTTAACTGTCCCTTCCAGGCCTGAAAATGTACAGAGAACATCCAGGCGCTCTGCGATGCCCTCTGTCTATCTATCCCTGCTCAGACCGCTCACAAAATGTCCCACCAACACTTTTATCAATATGTCCGATGACGTTATATGGTGAGACCAACAGAGGCCCTCGTCTGGGTCTGGTCTAGTCCAGTTTTGTGTCTCAGGCCTTGTTCCGATAAGAGACACGCTGTTCCTGAAAATGATACTTATATCACAGAAACCTTGTCCTTGAGTCGTCCCTGAATTCACTAAACTCAGGCTAAAAATTACAAAAAGACATTTTATGCAAACACCTAATGATAATCATTAGTATACAACATTTTAATTCTACAACACAACGTGTGCTGCATTTCTGGAATCTACAACACCCTATAAAAATAAATACTTGAAAAATGAAATTCTAAAATAAATGAAGTGTACCCCCTGCAGCTAGCGGATCCCACACTGATTTGGAGTCAATAGATCACATGACCTGGAAGCTATTGAGCTAAAATGCTAATATTTGTATTAAAAATATTCATATTCAATAAAAATTATTTAAAAAAGAGGTGTACCCCCTGCCTGCAGCTAGTGGAGGACAATAATCCTACACTGATTTGGAATCATTAGATCACATGGCCAGGAAGCTATTGAACTAAAACTCTTATAAAGATAATACAAAATATTAATAAAGAGGTGTACCCCATGCCGGCAGAGGAGGGGGACATCGAGTCTGAGTGGACCATGTACTCTTCCTCTATCGCCGATATGGCAGCTCATAGCTGTGGTTGGAAGGTCTCTGGTGCTGGTCCTGGTGGCAACCCCTGAACCCGGTGGTGGACACCGGCAGTAAGGGATGCAGTCAGGCTGAAGAAGGAGTCCTACTGAGCCATGATGGTTCGTGGGACTCCTGAGGCAGCTGTCCAATGCCGGCTGGCCAAGCGTGCCGCGGCCCGGGTTGTTGCAGAGGCAAAAACCCGGGACTGGGAGGATTTCGTAGAGTCCATGGAGCATGACTATCAGTCGGCCTCAAAGAGATTCTGGCAAACCGTTCGGCGCGTCAGGAGGGGGAAGCAGTTCTTAGGCCAACACCGTGTACAGTGCGGGTGGAGAGCTGCTGACCTCGACTGGGGATATTGCAGGGCGGTAAAAGGAATACTTCGAGGTTCTCCTCAATCCCCCTGTCACATCAGGCAGAGGCTGAGGATGTTGGGGCGGATACTTCCATCTCCCTGGCAGAGGTCAGCAAGGTGGTTGGCAGCCTCCATGGTGGCAAGGCGCAGGGAGTGGATGAGATCCGTCCTGACTATCTAAAGTCTCTGGATGTTGTAGGACTGTCTTGGCTGACACGTCTCTGCAACATCGTGTGGCAATCGGGGGCGGTGCCAATGGAGTGGCAGACCGGGATGGACCGGAGGTTCTGGAGAGTAGACTAGGACCGATGGTCCAATCTCGGATTCAGGAGGACCAGTGTGTTCGCCCAATCTGTCCACATGTGCTTTGTGGATTTGGAGAGGGTGTTCGACCGTGTTCCCTGGGTGTCCTTTGGGGGGGTTGTCCAGGAGTACGGGGTCCGGGGTCCTCTGCTGAGGGCCATCCGGTCCCTGTATGACTGAGCCAGAGCTGCGTTTGCATTGCCGGCTGTAAGTCAAACCTGTTCCCAGTGCATGTTGGCCTCCGCCAAGGCTGACCTTTGTCACCGGTTCTGTTCACTGTATTCATGGACAGAAGGTCTTGTTCCCGAGTGAGGGAGGGTTGGAGCGTGAGATTGACAGGCGGGTCGGTGCAGCGTGCGCAGTGATGCGGTCGCTGTATTGGACCATCGTGGTGAAGAGGGAGCCGAGACGAAAGGCAAAGCTCTCGATTTACCGGCCAATCTTCGTTCCCTTCCTGAGCTACGGTCATGAGCTTTGTTTAATGACCGAGTGAACGAGGTCGCGGATAAAAGCGGTCGAAATGAGCTTCCTCCACAGAGCGGCTGGGCGCTCTCTTAGAGATCGGGTGAGGAGCTCGGGAGGAGACCCTGGGGAAGACCCAGGACACGCTGAAGTCTGCTTAGACTGCTGCCCCCGCGACCCAGCAACGGATGAAGCGGAAGAAAATGGAATGGAATGGAATGATGTACTCTATGCAGCTAGTGGAGGACCTGGTCCTACATCGTTTGGAATTAATAAGATCTATTAAATGGTTTACCTTATTGATATAATCTTGTCTTTTCTTTATAATATAAATTCTCTAATTATAAAATTTGGGGAAAATTATTTGATTATAGTGGTGACACACGGTTCATGTGGTGGGAATTAGTGTATGTGTTGAATTTGGTTTTATTTTGTGTAATGAGTGAAGGGGTGCGATATTGACTTTGAATAATGGTGTAGTTGTAGAAAGTTAGGGGTTTATGAGTACTATTAGTAGATGGGTTCTATCTTGTTTTATAATTTTTTTGATAATATATGGGTTTGTTGTGTTTATAGATTTTGAAGGTTATTTTTGAGAATATGAGTCATGTAATGTGTTATGTTGTAGATTGTTTTGGTTGGTTGGTTGAGGGGTGTGTAGGGTAGGGATGTATTTTGGTGTAGGGAGTTTGTTTTTTTAAAGGAAATTAAATGAGATATTAGTGGGTGTATATTGGGTGTCTAGGTTTTATTGGGATTTAAATAACTATATCATAATATGTGGGGTACTGTGTAGCATATTGAGATGGGGGTATAATGTGTGTGGGGGTGTTAGTTGGGGTTTTGTGTGGTGTTTTTTTGGGGTGTGTTGGTTTTTTGGGGTTGTAATTTAGGAGGGGATGGGTAAAGTGTGGTGGGGGGGTGGGCTGGGGTGTTGTGGGGAGAGGGTTTTTGGTGATAAGGTCAAAATGAGTTGTTTTTGTACGGTTGGGGTCTTGGGTGGTGGATTGATGGGATATGGTCTGGTAGTTGTTAATTTAGGGTTTAATTTAGGGGGTTTGGTCAATTATTGTAATATGGGGTAAAAGGAAATAGTGTTAGGAGAGGAAGATAGGTTGTAGGTTGGAGTGGAAGGTTGGTGTGGTGTTTTGAGGTTTTGGGTTGGAATGGGAGTGATTATTTTAGATGGAAGGTGTGGTTGGAGTGAGGGGGTGGGGATTGTTTGGGTGATTTATATATATTGATTGGGTGTGGTGTTATAGTAGAGGTTGGGGTAAAGGGTTAAATGTGAAAGAACAGGGGGTAAGGGTGGATGTGAGGGGAAGTTTTGAGGTTGAATTTGGGGTGAGGTAAAGTGTATGATGGTGGGGGTAGGAAGGAGGAGGTTAGGGTTTGGAGTGGGAAGGGGTTATTGGGTGGGGTATATAGTAAGAGTTTGTTTGGCAAGTGAGTGATTGGGATTTAAGGTGATATGTAGTGGTTAATAAGATGTATGGGTGTGGGTAACTTATGAAATGGATGGATAAGGATGTTATTTTTGTTAGAGGAGTTGTAGGGGGGTAGGTGGAGGAGTATATTAGAGTAGAGATGAGGATGGGAATGGTGAGTATGTGTGGTATTAATTAATATTATTTAATGTGAGGGTTAATTTGGATAGAGGAATTGATATGTTATAGGGTGGTAAGTAGAGGAAGGTGTTTATGGGAGTTTTTGGTATTTTTGTGATGGGTTGTGTTTATTTGGGAGTGGGGTGGATTTGGTTGATGTTGTGGGGGTGGTAATGAGTTTTATTTGATTGTATGTTTTTTTTTGGAAGGGGGATAGATGGATTTATGATTTTGTGTTGTTTGGTGATGTAGTTTTTTTGGGAGTTTTTTTTATGGGGGGGTTTGAGTGGGGAGGAGTGAAATATTTGTGGGAGTTAGGAGTTGGGGGGGGGGGTGGGGGGGTAGATTGGGTTTAATGAGTGGGAGAGTAGGGGGAGAAGGGGGGGGGGATAGAATGGGTAATGGGGATAATGTATAATAATGAATAAGAAAGAAGGGTGGGAGAGTAGATGAAAAGATGGAAATGGATGGTGGTGGTGTGAAGGTTTGGTTTTTTTTTGTGGGTTTTGTATTGGGTTGTTTTGATGTGTGTGGTTTTTGGTGGTTGGTTGTTTTTTTTTATTGTTGTATTTGAGTGGTGTGGTTTTTGTATTGTTGGGTTGTTTTGTGGATTGGTTGGTTTTTATGTGTTGTTTGGTTTGTGTGATGAAGAGAGATTTATTAATATTAGGGGTGGTGGTGGTTTTTGTGGTTGAAGTTAGATGAGGTAGAGTATAGGAGAGGGTAGATAGAGGAGAGGGTAGAAAAAGGATTTTAGGAAGTAGAGAGGAGGGGTAGGTAGTAAGAGGTAGAGTAATGGGAGAGGGTAGAGTAGAGTAGAGGGGGAGATAGAGGGAAGGGTAGATAGAGGAGAGGGGTAAGTAGAAGTAGAGGGTAGATTAGGAGAGATTAAGGAAAGTGGTTGGGGGTGTGGAAGGAAGTATGTGTGGTAGGGGGGGAGGGGGGGAAGGGGATGGGGGGTTATTTAAGGTAGGGGTGATAAATGGTTATGTTTGTATTTTGGTGGGGGGGGGAATGGGGGTAGATATTATAGTAAATATTTGAAGATGTAAATTTGGGGGGGAGTGATTGGACAGGAATTGTTGGGTTTTTTTTGGGTTTTATGTGTGTATGGGGGGGTGGTGAATGTGGAGTGTAGTAGTTGGTCTATTGATAGGGGGGTTGAATTGATTGTGTTATTGGACTGTGTATGATAGGGTTTAGGTATGGTTTTATTTAAGGAGGGTGGATGTTTGAGTTGAAAAGTGAAGGGTGTGGTTAATTTAATGTGAAGGAGGTGGGGGAAAGGGGTGAAAGGAGTGAATAAGGTAGGGTAGTTTGGTGTAGGGGGTGTGGATTGGAAATGGGGTAATGGTGTAGGGGGGGGGGGGGTGGGGGTTGGGGAGTAGTGTAGGGTAATTTGTTGGGTTTTGATGTAAGGGTGGTTGTTGGAGTGTTTTTTTTGGAATATTGGAGTTATGATGAGGTCGGGAGGGATGATGGG